AATAAGATAATCTACCTAAGAATACACGTAAGCTTCGATCTGAACGAACGAGTCAAAGGTTGACAGACGTTTATAAAATTAGAAATTTTCTAGGGATCTGATAAACCTGTCACGAAACTGGTATAAAATAAAATAAAATGGGGAAAAAAGAAAAAAAAGAAAAAAAGAAGGAGAGAAAAAAAGAAGAAAGAAGGGACAAAAAATAAACGATAATGTTAGATTATTGAGGTATACGTGTTATGAAATATATACGACGTTGATATAATTATTTATTATAGATAATACAATATTAAGCAGAGAATGTTAGAATAATTATCTGATATAATTCGTATTGTTAGATCTTTCGATTATATCCTAAGAACGATCTCTAGCGAGGTACGGTCATCTCTTCTGCGTTTCATCTTCGCGATGAGAGAATTCTCTTCGCGGAGAAACGCGAAGGTACGAGATGAGCCGCGCTATTGGATAATGCCGGAGACCCCGGGCTTCTCTGAGAGAACCATCCATTTAAAATGTCTCCCTTAAATCTCCAGCACCACTGGCAACCACTAGCAGCAGCCACCCACACCACCACCAGCACCACCAGCACCATCAGCACCAGTACCAGCACCAGCAGTAGCACCAGCAGTAGCAGTAGTAGTAGCAGTAGCAGCAGCATCTCCACCACCTCCACCGTCGTCGCCACCTCCATCGCGTCTACCGACTTTCAGTAGTAACCCCTCCCAACCTATCCCCGTTACACAATATATATATATATATGTGTGTGTGTGTGTGTGTGTATGTATGTCCGTGTATGTATGTGTTCGCGTATATCTATACGTATATATGAGCCACTACTCTTTACCAACACTAAAAGCAACGCTACCACCGCTTTCTTCCACCCCTCACTTTTATATCCACCTAAATCCATCCATTTTAAATGACGGATATTTTCTCCTAGCGACTGTATGGATTTTCATATTTTTTCCACGAGCCGAAAGGCCCTCGCTTATAGAAAGGTCCTCGCAGTAAGGGCAAGAAGAGGATTTCACAGTGTCGGTAACTCCTTAATAAGAAGGAGAGTCAATACTTTTCCCGTCAGCCACTCAGCTGAACTTTCTCTTCGGATTCTGCTGGAAGGATCGTTCCTTTGATAGCTCTACGGTGATCTCTAATCGATTTTCTCGAATTAAAAAATTCGAGAGACCTGTCCTGGCCTCTTCCATCTTCTCTCTTTTGCTTTTGTGAGGAAGAGCTACGCAAAGATAGGGGCAAAACTTTTTGAATGACAATGCAATACGTACAAAAGTCGAGTGTTGAAAGAGGACGAAGAGGAATAGAGAGGAAAAGAGAGAGAGGAAGTGAGAAAAAGAGAGAAAGAAAGATAGAGAGAGAGAGAGAGAGAGAGAGAGAGAGAGGTCACTTGCGTCAGAGAGCCAGTTATAACCCGCGAAGATACGGAAGACAAGGAAAAAGGGCAAAAGAGTAGGTAGGTGGTGTGGTGTGGGCGGCAGACGATATGTATTATTGATGCGCCTCTGTCGCCAGTCGACCTCCTCCTCTCTTCCTCTTCCTTCCCTCTGTACTCTTCTTCCGAGTATCTCCAGCCCTCGCTTCCCTCTCCTTTCATTCTTTCTCTCTCTCTCTCTCTTCCTTTTTACCACGGAATACGTATATACATATATACATTCATAATTCAACATGCAATGCATTTCTTGAGAGATCTCAATAGTTACTTATCTCTCTATGACTACTGTTCTCTGTGAAAAGAATTAAAATATTTCAAAATAGTGGTTTTGTCAAATGGAGAGGAAGAGAAAGGAAAAGAAAAATAAAACAGAAAGTAACGAACGACGATGGTCTTTTAAACGGAGAAATAATTTAACTTAAAAGTTTTCATAAAGCTCGGATCACTTCTTTTCTCCTTCATCGATCATTTGTTTCTTTTTCTTTCTTTTTTCTTTTTTTTTCTGATATTATCGTTTTTTTCGTTTCTTTTCTTTTCTCTGCTTCTTCCATTGAAATTTAAATAGAAAAAATTGTCGTCCGACCTTATGTAGATATATCCATTTGAAACGATATATATATATATATATATATATATATATATATATATAAAAGAAGAAAAAGATGAGATATAAAAGTTTTTCGAATATGGTGCAATAATTACAAGTCTAACGAATTATGGCATGGTCGAACGAGTACGGATAAGAACGTCACGTTTCCACCGTCAGGATTCAACGGAGAACGCTGCCTTCTTTCATTAATCTCGTAGCAATCGAAATTAGCATAATTGACGGAGCGGAGAATAGCACCCTGTTCGACTCCAAAACGCCATCTCGCATAATCTCACCATATATCTCACTCAGTGTTTTCCGATAAAGCACGCATCCGCGAAAGGACGATCGACCGATCCTCATTCCCATGCTTGGACCATACGGCTTCCGAGATATTTGTCAGTGACGGTGCTACCGTAAGAATTAAAGATAAGGCGATTTATTTTGTTCTTATCAAAAACTATCATGTATCCTATTCGAAGAAATAACATGAAATCTTATTAGATCGTTAATAATCTAATATCTACGATTAATCTAATATCTACGATTAATTGTTAGAAAAATTGTTATTACTCGAGAAAATTTCTTAACGTTAATATTAAAACATATTCATTAAGAAGGGTTTCACAACTTCTTCCCTATTTCGTTCCATTTCTATTTCTTCCTCTTCCTCTTCCTTTGCCTCTCTCTCTCTCTCTCTCTCTCTCTCTCTCTCTCTCTCTCTCTCTCTCTCTTTCTCTCTCTCTCTCTTTCTCTTTCCACTCCCGACGACACATCTCCTTGAGCAAGACGTATCGACGCAGATTTTTTTCACATCAGTCATTTATCAAAGTCCTTCGTATTACGGCACCTCGCTGGCACTCAATACATTCGAAAGCTAGCCGCGGATTTAAGTAACAAGACGAGACGAAAGTAGATGAAGGAGAGAAAAAATGTGAAAAAAAAAGAAGAAGAGAAAGAAAAAAGAAAAAAAAAAAAAGGTGGAAAGAAAATGTTTATTAATCCTTCACTATACACATTCATCTCTATTCTCATATACATATATTATTCTTTTTAATCGATAATTATCGATTTTTTTCTATGTATTTTTTTATCTCTCTCACTCAAATCGATATCTCTTCACTTTCATCCCTCTTTCCTATATCATCCTTCCCTCATGGTCAACACTTTCCATGCATTTATTTTCTCCCTCTCCCTCTCTCTCTCTCTCTCTCTCTCTCTCTCTCTCTCTCTCTTTCTCTATACAACGTTAGAAAAGGATAACTCTTGTAGATTAGAAATTAGACAAATTGGTCTGTCTTTTTAAATATCATTGATACACCTAAAAAGTTGTATGATTTGTTTTACTGGTAAAAAAAAAAAAAAAAAAGAAAAAAAAAAAAAAAGATAAAAAACTAAAGAAAAGAAAAGGAAGGAAAAAAAAAGAAGAGAGAGTTACATAACAATTCATCCCCTACTTGTTTATATACGTATGTATATGTGAGATATGAATGTTTGATTAGGAAAACATCCTCTATATAATATACCTGCGTGTATGGAGTGTGCCGACGCATATTCAAATACGCTGCTGCTGTCCGAAAGGCAAATACATGCGAACGAAAGATAAGAACGCTTCAAGGGTTCGAATTGCTTGATAGGATTTCACCTCTATTATCATCGATATAATGGAACGTGCTTTACGTGAACGCGTTCCTCCGTACACGCTTGCTTTCGCATACATCGATAAATCTAACGAATAGATCGATCTAATCGATACGAGGAAAGATTAGAAAACGTACTTTAGGTAAATGCGTGACCCATTTAATATAAAATATGGAGATATATATATATATCTGATTAATGAAAATATAATGTCTATAATAATAATAGAAATTTGTAAATTTTCTATTAATTGGAACAATAATCAAATCTGTTAATTCCTGTTCAAGGCTGTTTTATATATAACGAATTCGTGAGCGTTCGGTAAAAATCGGATCAAACCGAGGAGGCCCACCAAAGTGGTCACGACCAGTTTCCCCCTTTCGTCTTAGGGCCTCATATTATCTGGACCTCCTAACTATACACCCGATTCACTTCATCGAAACGCTCGTGGTTGTTCCACGGTGTTCACCACGGGACACCCTAATCTAGGACAGTCCGATCTAGCAACGAGTCGTGAAATTTCAAGATTGGCTAAGGTAAAGGAATTTGACAACAAATTTACGATAACTATCTGAGATATTAAGAAAGAAAGAGAAAGAGAGAAAGAAAGTAAAAGAATAAGCAGAGACAGAAAGAAAAAGAGACAGAGAGAGAGAGAGAGAGAGTGGGAGGGAAAGATCATAGTCTAAAACATGATATCTCTTTGACTCGTTCAGATATCAAATTAGGCTAAAAAAATAGAAGGGCCAATTTAAGATGACCGACAAGAGGACATCTCTCGACATGGGGGTTGCTATCGCTCGTCAAGAAAGGTCGATGGAAGGTCATAAAAGATCGACCGATCGTAGATAAAAGACAAAAGCGACAGAGAATCGTCGTGATATCTCAGATGTTACGAGCCGAGACGTATTTCGGGTCAACCCGGTGGATCCTTCGAACCAAGAGTCGAGTTTTCAGGCTCGGTCATTGAACTTCCGAGGTCTGCATGGTCCCATGGGCCTTCTTCCCCCTTCTCCTCCCCCTTCCTCCCTCTTCAACTTCTCCTCTCGTCGAAATATAACCAAAGTGAGAGAAAAGAATTCGGATATTGAGGTAGGTACGAATAGGAGTAGGGGAGAGTGTGGTTTAAAGAAAAAAGAAGTAAGAGAGTAAGAAAAAAATGAAATGAAACGGGTAAGACGAGAAGAGGAAAGGAAAAAGAGGAAAGGAAGAAAGAAGAGGAGAGAGATAGAGCAAGAAAGTTGCTCTCTTGTGTAGGGGAGTCACCGAATATAAATACGAAACTCGGGTCGAAAAGTCAGTAGTCAGGAGGTTCGCGGGCATGGTATTGAAGTAATATATACATTAGTTTCTTTATATACATATATACATATATATGTATATATATATATATGTACGTGCATAAGTGCACAAATTGTAAACGCGCTTCTATACCCTCATTATTTTCTTCATTTTTCATTTGGGAAAAGTGCTTGGGGCAACGAGTTAGATGTATTAAGATGGAGAAAGTCGACGAGTATTTGAATGCAAGCAAATTACAATATCACGATACCTCCGAAATCGTAGAGGAATTTGACAAAGAGTTAAGGGAAATGCATGGACGATGCATCGACCTTGGTTGCGGCCCAGGACAGGTTACTGTAGAACTGATCTTACCAAGATTGCCACGGGAATCCGTGATAATCGGTAAGATTTATTTGCAAATTTTTCATTTAACCATATGATTATAACATTTCTTCTCGTGTAAAATAAAAATGTAGGAAAAATTTCATGTTTTTCTATGTTAAAACTTTTTTTTTAATATCCAACGTATTCTCTAATAGGAGTTGATGTATCAAACGCCATGTTGGAACACGCAACGAAAAATTATCGCGAAAATCCACGCCTATCTTTTCTTCATCTGGACATTGAAACCTCAAATTTGCCGCAGGAACAAATAGCACGATACGACAATGCCGTCTCCTTTTACTGTCTTCATTGGTGTCACAATACGCGGTATTCTCTTATCTCCTCTTCTATTCTCTTCTCTTTCCTATTCTTCTTTTTATCTTCCTTTCTTTTCTCTTCTCTTCTATTCTCTTCTCTTCTTTTCTCTTCTCTTTTCATTCCATCTTGATTAAGATCTAAAAGTTATAACGAACGATAGAAAAGTCGTCTGAAGAGAGAAAAAAAAAAATAAAAAAGAAAAGAAAAGAAAAGAAAAAACTATCGATATCAGATCTTTCGCTTACGTGCTTAGGCTGGCCTTCGAGAATATCTTCAAATTACTTCGACCTGGTGGCAAGGCATTGATTATGTTCCTCGCATACAACGACGGTTTCGATGCCTACGTCAGAATACACGAGAATCCACGTTATCAACCGTACATGCAGGTATCGTATCGATCTTTATTTCAATCCTGAAATTTCTCTTCTTCGTAATTATATTTGCTGAATTTAAAAATCGCATAAATATCAATTTAAAACTGAATGACCAATTCGTACCTGATCTGTACAATTACAAATTTTAATAATAAATCACTAAACTATAACAAATTAAATCGATCCCTTCTCCTTTAATATTCGATCTATTAAATTGATCTCGACGAACAAATCGAACGAATGAATTATATTTCGTTTATCCTCGATAATGATCTTTATCCTTTTGAAATATCGTGAAAATACATATTTCAGGATGCTCATAAATTCGTCCCGTATTTTCATCGTAGCAACGATTCAAGAGGCGCTCTTAGATCCATCCTCGAGGATATTGGATTCAATGTTCTGCATTGCAGCAAACGAGAAAAGAGCTTCGTATATCAGAACATTCAAAGTTTAAAAAGTAAAATAAATTTATCGTATGACAATGCAAATGAGTTTAATGAACGATCGAATTAATCCCGATAAATGATCTCGTTATTGCAGAACACGCATTAGCTGTAAATCCCTTTATATCGAGAATACCAGAGGGTGATTTAAAGGAAGAATTCGAAGACATTCTGATCCGAGAAATTATCAGCCGAAAAATTCTATTTCCAAATAAGGCCGACAAATGTCAACAAGAGTATAGCGTATTAGATAGATATCACATTTTGGTGACGTATATGGAGAAACCTTATACTAACGTAACTATGAAATAAATAATAAAAGTATCTAATGTCGTTCGATAAGAGAAAAAAGAAAGAAAGAACGATAAAACAAAAAAAAAAGAGAAAAAAAAGAAAATAAGGAGGAAAACATAATAAGCAAATGAAAACGATGTTACAGATATCAACGCGTTATATCATAACGCCTTTTAATTAGAAACCACTGATAGAAATTGAAATGATAAAAGGAAAAAAGATAAAGATTAATGAAGAAAGACAGAAATAAAGAAAGAGTAAAAAAAGAGAAAAAGAAAAAAATGAACGATTCAATGTCCTACGACAATAAAGTTTATTGTATACTGTGCCTTTAATTTTACAATACAATACAGCCATTTATAGAATATCGTTATAACTCTTGAATCATCATGTGGTATCGTGTGTGGTTTCTTATCCACCAAAGCAGGTAACAACTTTTTCTCTAAATTCCTTTCTTCTTTTTTTGTCTAGAAAATACATCCAGTTTGACGGCTTATCTTATGGTTTATTAACAGCAATTTTATACATATATATGTATATATATATATATATATATGCGTATAATATATAAGTGCGTGTGTATTGTGTGCGTATATATTATATATCGATACGCAATCTATTATCCAAATTTTAACATGCACAGGGAAAGGAAAATATCTTTTTATTACAATTTTGTAAACGAATGTTCGTTCGTTTAATTCTTTTTCCTTAAAGCATGTTTCAATCCGAATATAACAATCGTTTTAATTTACAGCGCATCATCTCAGAGTCTCTTTTTATCTTTCCTTTTTTTCCCGACGTATACACACGCACGTATATACAATATATGTATATTGTATATTATATGTTAATTGCAAGTCGCAACAATTAGATAATTTTCATAAAACGAGATTAAAAAGGAAGACTTAAAAGGAATACTTAACGCGTTGGAAGCATTAAGAACGAGATCACGCATGCGAAAGTATTTTATCAATATACACAGATTTATCTTTTTCTGTAACACAATGATAGAGATAAATTGTAAATTAGATATACATACATTATCAATGATGACTATTGATATATATTCATTTCTTATCAAGATCTGTATTCTATTAATTTGCATGTCAGCTGCGAAATAGGAAACATCGATTTTTCACAACACAAATCTTTCATATATAATTTCGATCTACGATACTTAATTAATATAAGTAAGTAAGTAAGTAAGTAAGTAAGTAAGTAAGTAAGTAAGTAAGTGTGTGAGTAATAATTCATTAATAATGTTGCAGACGGGGATACATTGACTCGATTATTGACACGATAATTGTAAAATCTTATCGGTCATTCCGAAATTGTCTATATCTTTATCACTTCAAATTCACTTTTTTTTTATTTCCAGTTAATTTACAATAGCGCATTTGAGATTAGAATAAAAGAGTTTCGATTGTTTTAGAATCGTTCGTTCGAAATATAGGAGAGCCTTTCAGGATTAAACGAGTATTGCTCGTAAAGTGATCCTAAACTGACGATTCACCTTATCTCATATGCCTTAATTCTTAATTACATATATGCGATAGGTATAATAGGTACGTACATTTATTAATTACACTCTACGACGTTACAGTTAACGAAGCGATATATATATATATATATATATATATATATATATATATATATATAGTATATAATATATATATATATGTATATATATGTATATCGAGTGCGTTACTTAACTCGTATATCCTTAATCGTAGAAAGAACATCGAACATTGAAAACGTTTAATTTCTTAATTATTTAAATATTAGTTTTTTTGTTTGTTTGTTTTTTTTTCGTTTTCTTTTTTTTCGTTTTCTTTTTTTTATGGGAAAGGAAAAAACAAATGTTTGGGGTATCGAATGATGAAGGATGATCAAGGGCAAGGCACAAGTGAATGAGAGGAGAAATTATTTTTAGATGAAAACTAATAATCTCTTTGTTGTCTTAATAATCCTAGAGCCGAATTGATTTTCATTTTAATTCATTTTGTCTATCTCTTTAAATATCATTGACTTTCGCTTGGACACCTACTGTGTATATACATATATATTTTATACGACAGTAATGGACAAATATCTCAATTCGATTGACGATTAAATTTTTTTGTTTTTATTTCGTAATTGTAACGCAAAAGAAAACGATTCAATGATTATTAGTATATACGGTGTAGTTCGTCGATGTATTTTATTCGTCGGGTCATACTCGACTCAATTTTTTTTCGACATTGACCAACTGCCCCGAAATAAAATTATAAATAATATTGATTGTACGCGATGTAAAGGAATTTTTCTTTTTGTATAGTTTAAAAATGTCTATAACATTTTATGCATATTTTATTATCGGTAAGAAGAAAAGCAAATAAAAAGAAAAAAAATAGAAGGGAAAAAAGGGAAAGAAAAAACAATATAGAGATCAGTATTATAATGTTTTTTCGAGCACGTAAAAGTTAACGATTGAAATGTGAGAAAAAAAAAAAAGAACTGAAAGATCATCAATTGTGCGAGGGAAATTTGTCTGTAAAAAATTATTATGGATAATAGAGATTTGATTTAAGGAAGGAGGAGGATATGATCGGAGAATAATAAACAAAAAATAAAAAAAGAAGAACAATGCATGAACACAACAAAAATCATTATTTACGACATAATCACATATACAAAATTGGAAGAGAAAAAGAAAAGGAAAAAACTAAAATGAAATGCATAGAAAAAGAAATATGTGAAACGAGTATTGGACTCCTATATTATAAAATTCATATTAAATATATCTGTTAATCGTGTATCACATGAAACCATCGGTAGAAACACGAGGGAATAAATAATAATAATAATAATAGTAATAATAGTAATAGTAATAGTAATAGTAATAGTAATAGTAATAGTAATAGTAATAGTAATAGTAATAGTAATAATTAAAAATGAATGGAAGGAACACGACATAACAAAAGTGGAACAATTAAGAGTTACAACAATTTTTAAATATTAACGCGTCGATCACGATATACTATTTTTGAGGAAGACAACATTTTTGAACTATCTATTTGCTATTTAGATGCAAATAAAAATTCGAAGAATATGTGTGTGTGTATATATATAAAACAAATGATATAATATATTTTCATTTGTAGAAAAAAATAAAGATATAATGTAAGAGTTAAAATTGATCTTGATAAATAAATCGATAAATAAAAATAAAGTTTTTTTCTTTGAATTTCTATTTTGAAATGGAAATATCCCCATACATATATTTTTCTTGTGCATACGACAACAACATTGATCATTACCTAAAAACCATATATTTGCTTCGTTCAATTATGATCCATTCTTATTTTGATTATACGCAAATATTTAATTTCTAAAAGATAAATCGTATAACGTGATCAATATTAAAAATCAATCGATTAAGAAATATTATTTCGTTGATGAATATAATAAAAATTTTCTTCATCCCTCATTATCAATTTACAAAAAGAGATAGACATACGAAAAAAACAGATTACATTATACTCTTATATTTAAAATTCTAATAATTGTTTACGTTTGAATAAAAATAAAGTTCAGACACAACGTTATACGATTCCTCCTATATATATATATATATATATATATATATATATATATATATTCGCATTTAACTAATAATCGACACGAGATCGATCGAACTAATCTGTAAAAAATCCCTGATCCATCTAATTAGAATACTTTGGATAAACGGAAGAAGAATACACAAATCTCGAGAGAAAAAATATTTTCACTTTCGAAAAAGTAAAGAAAACAAAAGAAAAAAAAATACTAAAACTACAAGAAATGAAAACGAAAATGAAAAAAAAAAGAATATATAATAATAATAATAATCTTTCACTGTATCCAACTTATACAACTAATACAATACATATTATTACATCGTACCGTGAATCGACGTGAAGCACATCTCCAAAAAATCAACTTTGGAAACATATTTGATACATATTCAGGTACGGAAAATCGTTGTTACATATGATAGTAAATATACAATATATTCGACGGAGATCAAAGATCGATCATAAAGAAGCATGAAATATAAGATCTATTTCTTAACGCGTAATGGAAGATCCGAAGAAATAAAAAAAAAATATATATATATATCCATTGCACGTCTACGATTGACTTTCTTTTTTTAAATGCACATCATTTTCTTATTCGAAAAAAATTAACCAATGGATTGTTTAAAAAAATAAATAAAACCAAATGATTTTTATACGATCTTCCGTAGGCCGTACAATGATACTGTACAATAATTTATACAATGTGTGTGTGTATATATATATATATATATGTTATGCATATATCCGATATATATATATATATATATATATATATATAATTTCTCTTTGTACAATAAAATCTTTGCATTCGGAGAAATCGTACTTTCATATTACGTATTTACGTATATTAACAACAACTTAAAACCAAGATAAATGATTTAATAAGTTTGGCAAGATCGCAGCGTTAAATTTAACGGTTCAACTTGATTGATCGACATGAAAATTATTGATAAATCATGATGTGTTGTAACTTGATTGGCACTAAGGAAATATATATATATATATATGTATATATATATCAGTGAAATAGTGTATTGCATTCGATAAAATCAAACTAGTAAGATATTTTTCTAAAAAATAGCTGTTACACACCAGGTCTAACTCGTAATTCTCTATTCTACTATTAACAACATCAACAGCAACAACACATAATATATTCAACATCGACAATATACATATATATATATATATATATATATATATATATATATATATATATATATTATTTTAACTATATATACAGTGGTATATATATGTGTATATTTATATAATATGTATATATCTCTATACGTAATATAACAAATACACAATTTTTATGTACGTGTATACACATATTACATAATATAAAAAGAAAATCTGTAATATACATCTGCTGTTCTGTATATAAAGTATCTTGTATGATAGACGTATACAAAGATACGATAATTAATTAATATGGACAGTTAATACAGTAACAAAGAAAATTCGTATAAAAAGATATGCAATAGGAGTCTAAAACAATATGAGTAACCTTGAGAAAGTTTTAAAAAAGGAAAAGTTAAGATTAAAGGAAATTAATGGCAAAGAATCAATCACACTGGAAAATAGGATATGTCTATGCTTAAACATATTCAAAATATAAAATCTTTCACAATTGATTATACCCAATAATTATAAATGATCTAAATATAGTATAATATCTCATCTTTTCTCTCTCTCTCTCTTTTTCTCTCTCGGCCTCTCTCTCTCTCTCTCTGTTTCTCTTTCTCTGTCTCTAGAGATTCTCCAATAGAGCGTAACAGACTGTAAAGTCACACATAATTCTTTCTAATGTATATAACATCGATGTATACGTATACGTACATGTTTTCGTGGGATAATATTAAATACGGCACACATTTATATGTATCTGCAACATTCTCATCTTTTAACAGATCGTACTCTTGTTTACTGCTTAATTTGTTAATATTAATATTTACTAGGTAGAGACGAAACCAAGTGTGTTACCACCTTTTTTCTCTTTTTAAATGCTTATCCACCTGTAATCATTGTCATTCTTAAATTAAATATCTGTTCCTTTTCAATTAAATTTGAGCGAGCGCAGTCGTTAATAATAAAAAAAAAAAAAAAAAAAAAAAGATTAATTCTCTTTTACGTAAAACTCTTGTAACGCAAAATTTATTAATTATATTTAAAGATATAATACGAAAAAGGAAAAAGTTCATATTTCATCAATTAACGATCTCACATATGAATATTGTTACTGCACGGGCACGATGCAATTTTTGTTATTTACTTTGCAAAATTTTAAATTTAATCTCTTGAAATAATTGAAAATCAAATGGAATTTTGTAAATATTTATATTATATATATAAATTCGTGTATCGCTCTGAAGAATATAATTTATTGATTTCTAGAAAACAACGATATCATTAAATCATCTCTATTTGAAAATATCTATCGACATTTATGACAACAAATCGTTCTCGAAATAATCCCGTAACATCACGCGAACGAGAATATTGGAATTTGCAGACGTTAAATGCCATGAGATCACGTATTCGAAGTATATATGTATATATCTTCCTTTTTTCTTTCTCTCTCTCTCTCTCTCTCTCTCTATATATATATATATATATATATATATATATATATATATATCGATTATATCATGTACTAGATTAGAAAAACATTGACGTTAGGATTGACCCGTCGGATGTCGGGTGGTATATTTCTTTTTTCTTTCTTTCTTTCTTTCTCTTTCTCTTTCTCTTTCTCTTTCTCTCTTTCGCGCGAGCGACATGTTTGAAAAAGCTTAACGTTGAAATGTAAAAAAATATCCCGTTGAAATAAATAAAGCGGCAGCGGCAAAGTATCAACGATAGATCATAGTTTATCAACAGCCCTTCATTTGGGCTCAGTCTCCAGATCGAAGGGAACAATTTACACACATATATATATATATATATGCAACCCTTCGGAAACTTAAAGGACACAGTAGCAACACGGCGCCTCGCTAAAATAATTCAACAAACGTCTACATTGCATAAATATCGTAGTCTTTTTTTCTTTTCTATAAATCCATCCACTAGTATATAGTAATAGTAGCAGCTCTCGACAACTCGCGATCGATTGAAAGTTAGACACACAACAAGATTATACATACGCACGCACGTAAGCACCTACGCACGCACGCACGTACATGCACACACACATACGCGCACATAAGATAAATTCTCTTAAATAGATCACTCGGACAAGATAATATACCCTAAGTCCATTTACAATTATAATCAGATTTCTCTTGTACGATTACGATATAGCTTATATTATTACATATATATATATATATATATATATATATATATATATATATATGCCTAACTTACATAGTTAAACATATACGATAGAAACAATAAGGACAATGTTACATAAAGTAACATTTTTGATTGTCTTCCTCGAAAGAGGTTCCGCTTGTTGTAGTCAATACAATCGATGACTACACAGCATGAAATTTATACAGATCATTCTTGTCTTTACAAATAAACTTCCCCTCCTTTCTAATCATACTTTTCTATAATGAGAATTTACACTTCTCATCCATGGAATATATATATATATATATATATATATATATATATATATATATCTTTTTTTAGGAACAGAAAATATATATATATATATATATCTTCTGTTCCTAAAAATTCCAATTTTTACCATTGATAATCTTAATAATCAAATTTGTAAAACAAGAAGTATTTGTATATATGCACGTGATACACAGAAAATCTGAGATTATCTATTTTTTCTCGTATTATTCTTCGTTTTCTTATTCTTTTTTTTTTCTTCTCTTCTTTCTGTTTTCTTCTTCTTCTTTTTCTTCTTCTTCTTCTTCTTCTTCTTCTTTTTTTACTTTAGTGTTCTTTTCTTTTTTCTTTTTATACTCTTTCGCGTCCAAACAAAACTTCCACGAAAATGTACGAATTATCTAAGAACCCTTTCGTAAGAGATCACAGCGATGTTCTTCGCGATTTGCTATCAAATAAAAGCTGACAAACGAATGTAAAAAATACATGATTAATTTGTCAGATATATATATATATATATATATATATAGATATATATAGATATATATATAGATATTATATAAATTTACTCTTGTATGTGAAAACATACGTATTACATTCTAAAAAAAATTCATTATCGAGAGCGTAAGATCCAAATGGAAAATAATAATTTTTTCTGATATATTCAGAATATATACCAGATTTCATTTTTAAAAATGTCTTTAATATGGAGTACTTTCAGTCAAAATATATATATATATACACATGTGTACATATATATATATATATATGTATATATATATATGTATATATATATATGTATATATACATATACATATCAGATCACGTAAGCGCTCTTTCAGATCTTCGCTATGTCTCAACGATTCTCTCTCAGGCCTAAGAGAATTCGTTCTTGACTGTGATCTGCCGATGTCTGACGAATATGATCAAATCATTTTGATTATAGATCATTGTAATAGACAACATTTTGGAACGCGATTCAGAAGTAGTCTGGTTTAATTAAATAACGCCTTATGCATATAACAACAAGAATAAGTGTTAGCACTTAGGAAGATTTACTCTCTTATTTAGAATTATATATACTCTCTTCTTCTCTCCTCTTTCTCCCTCTTTCTCTCCTTCTTTCTCTTTCTTTAAATACATACATACATACATATATATATATATATATATGTTTTCTTTTTCCACACTTTCCTCATACTTAATAACAATGAGAACGGAAATCAATGTTCCATTAGTTTTCAATGAATAGTATCTCTTTAATACTGTATAAACAACGGCAGATTTAACTCGGTTGTTTGAAAACTTCTCACATAATTTATTTCTTTTCTGTTTAAAGAATCGATGAAATGTTTTTCGATAATGAAAAGATCGAAAGGCAGCATGCTCATATGCTAGGTAAACCTCGATCGATCCAAACTCAAATTCAGTTTCAATTGCGTTTATTCATTCGATTAATAGTACGTATATATACGTGTGTACATACATACATACATATGTACATATATACATACATACATACGTACATATATACATACATACATACATACATATATATATATATACTCATATATATATCCAAAGTATTTCAATGGAAAGTGGCCATCAGGATTATTATATAATCTAAGCGATTTTTTCGAAATTTATCAGGACAGGTCAATTTTATTATTGATAGGAGCAGATTCTTATCGTATATTCATTCATTTCGAGCTAACCTCCTTAAAATTCCTAAGTGATAACGGAGGTCAAATGGTGTGTCATTCGAAAGATATTTTAATTCTCTTTACGATGGTGCTATATCTTCTTTTTTTTTTTCTTTTCTAATTTTGAGTTGATCAGTTTTCGATAAAAACAAAATTAACCTATCTCAGCGTTTTTTCCTTTTTTTTTTTAAATCATTAGATTTCAATCCCGTTGGACAATTCGTTTGGATACTCTATATATATGTGTATGTGTGTGTGTGTATATATATATATTTATGGTACTAACGTAAGAGATAAATTTATCTAAGAAGATATAAAATTATCTTATACGTCATTCGAATTTTAAAATCGAGACGTTAGACATTAAAATCTCATTTTATGTACACACGATGTATGTAGTATTGAGAGCTTGCTCATCGAAATTTCTACAATTGACGAGCTGCCTAAGATCATATTCTCTTTCTCTTTCTCTCTCTTTCTCCCTTTTTTTGTTTTTTCTTTACTTTTCAGAAAGTATATCTGCCGTTTAACAAATCCACTTTATTCTATCCTGCCATCGTCGGATAGAGTTTCATCAAGAGCTATCCAATGTATCAACATCGTCAGTATTTTCATTTGGTATATTGTCCAAATTTTCACTGAGACAATGTAATGTATAGAATATCATTTCGTTTCATTAATTAATATGTATTCTCACTGAGTGATTCAGGCATACTTGTACCACCTGAGGGTGATAATGGTAACTCTCCACTGTCATATTTACTACAACGACTATTATACTCTGCCTGCAGAGTGGCTTTTACCTAAAAATTGATATATCATATCATTATAAACCATAGAGAAAATATTTTTATGTGGAGAAGAAACTCTTACATTAGCTTTTTCCTCCTCCAACCTCTGTCGGACCTCTTCGTGTTGCCTTTCCAACTCTGCCTTCTTTTTCTCATAAATTTTTTTCAATCTAGTACATTCGTTAACACCTTTTTCCACTGTCGACTTAGCGACTTCTCTCTTCATCCGATCTAATTCGGCCTTGTCCTTATGTACCTTAGCTAACTGTTTGACCTGTGTATTTTAAGGATATAATATATATGTATAAGAATTTTGTGTGGAAGAAAAAAGAAAAAATAACAAAATAACAAATCTACTAAACGTATTCTATTTAACATTAAGATCTTTTTTAATCATTCTCTTTTTTTCCGTCTCAAAAGGAATGAAATCAATCGAAGAAAGAAATATAAATGAAGCATATACCTCGCCGTGTCTACTAGCTTGAAGTTTACGCATAACATCAGCCGTTTCCCTTTCCTGTAGAACTCTTAATGTTTTCAATTGATTCGATTGCGACGTACGCATTACCTTCTCTATTGTGGTAAATACGCTTTCATGATATTTTTCTTGTAATTCACGTTCCTGTTGTATATGTGCTTTACATACAGCCAATAATCGTTCGCTTTGACTTCTAGGTAAACCTCTTGATAGACCTTCAACGCCTTCACGATTTTCCATATCAGAACATTCGGAAGTTTCTGCCAGAGTTATAGTACTTAAACCAACGTCGCTTGAGAAGCTATTCGAGAAAAAAATAAAAAAAAAAAAAAAAAGAAAAGAAAGAAAAGAAAGAAAAACAAAAGCATCAATTTAATTATTATTTCAAATAAGTAAATCAAACACAACATACATATATATATATATATATATATATATATATATATATATATATATACATCGATACTAACATGTTTCTACTTGATAATCGTTTCACCAATTTATGACTCATGCAAAACTTAGACTTATGCTTTTCTCCATCGAGAGAACCCTTTTGGGATTGTATTCGTATTTTTTCCTTCTCATGTTTTTTTCTTAAAGATTCCAACTTTTTCTCAAGCTCTGACTTCTTCTCCTTTACGAGTTTATTTTCCATAAGTTTGTCCAAAGATTCAGCAACTATCTCTTCGCTCGCTAAACGGAAAAAAGAAATATTGTGAATGCTATCTTTGTTTCTTTTTTAGTAATATTTACGTACTGATATCATCCTATATACTTACTACTACTACTAGCATTGACCGGACTTTTATTTGCAGATGCATCAACGAATTGGACTACAGGAGATGGTGCATTATCTTCAACTTCTGGTGTTTCAGAAGTATTTATACCAATAATCGATGGTCTACCATGTGTACTGCTTGTTGTTGGTTGAAGACCTGGTAATTCACCTACTGATTGCACTCGTTTTGTCTTAACAGTCTCTTCCTGAACAAAAAAAATAGATATATTTAGAATTGAGACAAACGAAAGAAGAAAAGAGAAAACATTTGAGAAATTAATAAGATTTAATTAATTGATTAGCGAATTTCATTATTATAATAACTTACGGTCGATTTAGAAACAGTTGGTGCTTCGCCAACTTTATCTTTTTCCTATAAAATGTTAGTTTAAGGGTTAATGAATATTGGCGTGTTAGTTTAATATCATTTATCAATCTTCAATACTCACCTCAATTTCTTCAGAAGGTTCGTCTAAACAATCAGTAAGAACCATTAATTGCTTCTCTCTCTTTTCCACTTCGCTTTGATATTTTATCGGATTAGCCAAAGCTTCAGCTAATTCACTAAGGCCGTCTGGTACGTAATCTTTGACAATCACATGTAAAAATAGACTCGCTAATGGTAATGGTTGACCACATTCTGTTCTAAGCGCAACGTGTCGATATCCTGGACACAATCCCACAACAGGTAATACTCTATGACCAATCAATCGACCAGATTCTTCATATGCAGCTATTCTGATGGAAGCTAATTCTGGTAATACTACCTAATGTAAATCAAACATATTTCCAATGATTATTAATCATTTAATAATGTCAGGTAAATTCGATCGAGAGAGAAAGAGTTTCTTGCCTTTTTAAATACGAATGGTTCCTCGTCGTAAACAGGATTGATTCCATTATTAGGAACAATTTTCGTACGAAATTTTTTCCTCACTGTGTCCGCTGGAAGACCAAACATATCCACCTCAACATATGTGCCTACTCTTTTATCAGTCAGAAATTGAGCTGATATCACATGAATATGTACTGTCCCTGCTATGATACCATCGACCGTTGATTCCGCAAAAGGATCCAAGCGACGATCCTTCCGTCTCATAAATTCTGGCTTTAATATATAACCAGAACGTTGATTATATTCAAAAATTCCCAAATTTAATTGCATCGCCAGATCTAACGTGTAAAATAATCAAATAAATATAAAACTTTCTGATACTTTTATACGCTTATGTAATTATATTATAATAACACTTATTACTTACCAAGTGTTTGATAATTTAGGGCAACTAATTGGCAACCTGCATTCCAAAATACCTGAGGCATAAAGTTACTCGAATCAAATCGTGTTCCGGCTGGATAAACTCTCGACAATTGATGTTTATTATAATTAACAAATTCCAATGGTCTTTCCTTTAAAAGTGTCGTGGCCTGTTTTTCATCAAACGATGACATTTCATACATTCGATTTTTTTCTATAATGATAATAAAAAAAAATAAAAAAAAAGAAAAAAAGAAAAAGAAAGAAAAAAAAACACGATTAATATTAAAATATTCGTAATAAATATTATATAGGCACGTGTATATATTACGTTTCAACAAATATAATTACTTTCAGCCGATTCAAAACTATTAAAATGAACAGGTTGCACGTAATTGACTAATGCTGAAATTTCCGCCCCTGCTTCTGTTTCTTTCGCTGAAGTTGCTACTTTATCGGTTGCAGTAACTTTATCACCCATCCTGAATTTGATGTCTTCTACATTAGATTCATCTTCCTCTGTACTTGATTCGTCTTCATCATCTATATATATATATATATATATGTCAATTAAAAAATAAAAAAGAGAATTATTTTAGTAAATTAATGCACATCTATATCAAGATGCAATAATATTTGAAGTAATTTTTATATTTTGATAGATACCATCGTCTTCTTGCGTACTATCTCTACTATTCTGTCTCTGCTGAAGCATCGGTGCATGAGATACATCTCCATTTCTAATTTGTTGTTCGCCATTATTAACAACCCCATCGACTACTTCGTTTTCGGGTATTATATCCGGCGGTGGACCATTTTCCCCTTCAGCCGCTAAATTTACTATGCCATTCTCATCGGTTTCTTGAGGAGTTTCTTCACCATCCAATGGTAATGCATATGGCTTTTTATGATGCTTCTTATGGTGGTGATGATGATGTTTCTTCTTATTTTTTATTATAATTTTACGTTTAAGTAAAGCTGGAGGAGGTAATTCTTGTCCTGGTTCCAGCTAAAATATAAGATAAAATTAAAGTATCGTTTATTACTTAAATAACGATAAATATATAAATTTCGATATAAAAATGTTAATACTTTATGAGAATCGAGAGGTGCATCTAATAACATTTCACCAAATAATTCTCTACAATATTGCGCTATTTTAGCTTGCTGCCGTGGATTACAGTGATTTTCAAAACTAAGTATTACGGGAAATTCCGATGTTTTAAAGGCACTCTCAGCAATTGCCTCTATGACATCTCGTGCGTGAATTTCAGGTACAAATGTATACCTGAGAAAATCACATTAAAATAAATTAGAATTCCATTAAGGAATGTCTTTTTTTTTTTTTTTTTTTTTTTTTTTTTTTTTTTTTTTCAAATTACCCATGAACAATAACTGGTTCATCAAACTTTCCATTCCAAAAGTCTAGTTCAACGCAGCGACAGCCAGCAAGTAAACATTGACGATAAATTTCTACTGAACTTTTTCCTGTAAGCTGATGACCTAAAATCGAAATTCATATTTATCCTTTGATAAAAAGAAGCTAGAACTAACGTATATACATAATTTATAAGGGATGCTTTTTCAGAGACTCTCCATATACCTGTTAAATAAGTATTATGACTAGAATTTATAAAATAATGAGCAAGTGGTTGATCCATATCATCAGAAAGTTCAAATTTGGTCACAGCAACAATTGGATTATCCTCACTCATTAAATATCTTAGAAATCCATCAAAACTTAACTGTCCTCGATTGGCATTATATTTATTTGGTTCATATTGTATTATTATGTCTTTTGCTCTTGCTTCATTTGCATATGGATAAAGTATTTCATTTAATCGCGGATCCCTTTGCGTTTTATTTAAAAACTCTACAAACTGTTTAACGGACATTAATCTACGTTTTGTATTGCCCACAATTCCTTCAAATACTTTTTCTACATCTGATCTCTGTGTAAGAGATTTATAAAAATTAAAAAAATCTTCAAATTGGAATTTCTGAAGAGGTACAGCATCATTCTGAAAAGAAAGAGACATAATTACAACATAGCTTAAAAAATAATTACAAAGATAATAATGTAATTTTAAAATATAATGATATAAATAAGAAAATAAACTTACTTTTCCAGATGGCAGACCTGATATATCAAGTGCTTTTTCTACGCGTTTACGATCTTCCTTATTTTGCGTAAACATTCTGATTATACTGAAATATAATTCAGTTTGAATATATTTAATAAGATCTATATATTACAATAAAAAATACATCAATTGTAATAGCAAAACTTTACGTACTTCTTTACTGGTATTTTGCCTGATTTATCAATTGTGAGTATTAATCTTGTGTGTGCCTTCTGCAAGAACATAGTTGTACTTGTATTGAGCTGTGTTAAATTGTATGCTAACTGCAGAAGTTGATCGGTCCAATGTTGTGCAATTTCAGCACGCGTTGTGCAAAAATTAATAAATGTCATATTAACAAAGTCAGATCCATAGCAAATTGTTACAGTTTTGTCTTCTAAAGAGTCTTGAGATCCCATAGTTACAAGAGATTTTAGTTTTGGATCCTGCAAATCAAATTATTCTCTACTTGAAGAAACAGACTTTATACGATATAAAAGTTAATATAATTTACTATCATTATATTTCCTAATACATTTCTCGTACATTTAATAAAATAAGCTAAATATAAGTTTCATTGTATTGCCATTATTCAAATGAGCACAATATTTAAACTGGATTATACATGTATAATACAAACCATAGGAATCTATTCATTATTATCTATATTGATTTATGGGAAAATTGATAATGAAAACTAGTTCCCTTTCTATATGACTACCATTGTTTTCAACTTGTATCCAAGATAGAAAGGAGAAAAAAAGATGAACTTATAGAAAGAACATAAAGTAGGTAATGTTCTATTTATACTTTTATCAATAATTATTATGTAGTGCTGTGCGTCATTATCATCTACTCAAAGGCATGGTTTAATTATAGATATCCCTCAAAGCAATATCCATATCTGTTGCAGTGATGCATATGTGCATTATTAAATACTCTTATCTTTCTCAGAGTAAGCACAGGTGATGGATATTATATTGCATACAGCATATGTAAGATGTCTTGCAAGTTTTGAGAAAAAATTAAAACATAAAAGTTTTACGCTCAAACAGGATAACAAAATTTATAATCAAAGTATAAAAGAGGAGGAGATGTAATATTACTACCTTTGGTATTTTGGCATATTTTCCTGTGCGCGTATCTCGTATTGTAGCTATGTCCAAGATGTCCATCTCATTATTTTGATCTACCCAATGCAGATAAAAACCAAATTTATCTACTTTCAATGTTACTGGCGTTGCAACTCCAGAATCCTACATAAATATTCATAAAGCATCGTAAATGTTAATCTATTCATTATTATATACTTATAATAATGAATATTCTAAAAAGTAGATGATATATAAAATCAACTTAGGTCTAGCAGAATTACAACTCATATGGCATACAAAATAGCTCCAATGTGCAGCATCAACTATATTCTACGGGTCAATTGTAGTATCGTATTGATACTAATACGAATGCTATATAATTGCAGTTAAACCATTTACTGAAAGGAAGCATACAAACCTCATCCCATTTAATAAACTTCTCTCCATCCTGTAGCTGCTGAGAGACCTCAACAGGCTTGGTCTGTACAGCGTTAATTTGGGCTTTATTGCCTGCCATCCTGACTTCGTGATACCGTACAAGTATATAATTTGCAGGCACTGAATAACTTTTAACATGGGCTTGAAAGGAAAGAAACGAGAGTCACGATGAATAAAAACAACGATGTTCGAGACCAGCAGCACAATATAATCTTGGATAATATTGTTAAAGAAGATGACGAAGATAACGACGAAGATAGGGATGATAAAGACAAAAATGATGACGATGATGACGATGACGACGCCGACGACGGCGACGGTGACGATGACGGCGGTGACGACGACGACGACGACGACGACGACGACGACAATGATGATGAAGATAATGACAATAAAGACAGTTGCAAGGGCCACGATGATGACCACGACGACGACGACGACGACGACGACGGCGACGACGACGGCGGCGGCGGCGACGGCGACGACGACGGCGGCGACGACGACGACGACGACGACGTCGTCGACGATAGCTTCATGGATAACGTTTTCAACATCAGGGGCACCTCGTGGATCACCCCGTTACACTGACAGGCACACCAGTCTCATCGTACGCACGAAAGAAAATGATCTTGTGATTTATAAACGGCGTCGTCGTCGCCGTCCCTATTTCCACTCCCCTCTCCTTTCTTTCTTTATTCCTCTCAACCTCCGAATGATCTCCCTCTTTCTCTCGGACACACTCCCTATCTATCTCCCTTTCCCCAAGAGTGTGATCGAGCGAACGTCAAACTCTCTCTCTCTCTCTCTCACTCTCTCTCTCTTTCTCTTTTTCTCTTTCTCTCTATCTCTCTCACTCTTGCTCTTTCTCACTCTCTCAATCTCCTTCTCTCTCTCTCTCTCTCTCGTTCTTTCTATCTCGTTCTCTTTATCTCTCTTTTTCTCTTTGTAAAAGATAAAGTATATTTTCGCTCGACGTAAATTTTCTTAATCACAGCCGATTATCATCAACGTTAGCCCATTGACATACATATAGGAATAAAATAGAAAAGACCTGCATCGCGAGCAAAGTCAGACGCACGTGAATCGTTTGACACTCGTCCGGCCCCCATTCAGTACACACTCGTAAAATAATAAAAATCCAACACGACTAACGCACACCTCATAATTATTTCGTATTCACGAACACTAATATGAAGTACATTCACTTTACTGATTCCAGAACTCGACATCCATTCGCGCGCCGTCGTACAAAAACCACCGAGCAGCAGCCGCTTATTTTAACTGCCGCCAACCGATACCAGATGGCACTCGCGAGGACAACTCTGAGACGCGCGGTTATCACGCTTAAATTGATTTTAATGCGATGCGCCGGTTTTAGCTTTGTTAAAGAAACCATTAAAAATATATTAGTTCGACCATGTTTCGTTGATGCTTACATATCCGACGATATATCGAATTTTAAATCTATGTACATATATATATATATATATACACATATATAATGGAATATTCGAGTTCTTTGTTTTTCTCTTTTTCTTTCTTAATTATATATTCATATTTTTCGAGGTATACCAATCGTCTCATTCAGAGATATATCTCTTCTATCGTATAAAAATTTTCCAAAATAATTTTGCATCCATTTAAAAGATTAATAAAAAAAAAAGGATGTTCTCATCGATACTACGATTATATAAAAATAGTTACGTTTATATGAACTTTGCGAGAAAATTCTGCAAATCAGTACACTCCCCTTATGTACACACTTTATCTAAAAATAAGTACACGCCCTACGATGAAAGAAAGACTAATCACCTTTACCACATCCATTAAATCGATCCGGCTTTCTCTCCTTGCTATTAAACTTAAGTCAATTTGATTTAACAAATGTGTAAAATAATCGCAACCGTGTCACTCAGTCAGATATTATACACAGATATTATTGCCTTTGAAATTTGATGAAGTATATATATCTTATATGTATATATACCTTATACGTAATATACCTTATATATATTTACATTAGATCCACAATAATGACAGAGACATGTGTTTGTGGTATATATTTAAAAATATAATTAACTCGATAGAAAATAAGATTTGGCACTCTACAAAAATATTTTACATTTGTCACATGTATGCAATATATACTTGCTAACTAAAGAAAATAATATTATGAATGTATATTAATGTTGGGATAGGATTATAGATTCAGGAACTCTTTAAAAGACATCTTATTAATATTTACTATATAATATTAAAATATTATTATGTGGGCTAGTCTTTTAATTAGATTATCCATTGTATTGGAAATTGTTATATATATATATTTTTTTTTTTAAGACTAGAATCCCAAAATTTCAACCATTAACTTGCAACGTGATTTCTCTCCTTCTCTCTCTCTCTTTCTCTCTCTCTCTCTCTCTCTCTCTCTCTCTCTCTCTCTCTCTCTTTTCTTTCTCACTTATTTTTATTTTAAATAATTTTCTGAATTGTTTCTATAAAAACTATCTTTATATATTGATATAAACTAAAATAGTACCTTAACAATACTTCTGAAATCAAGAAAGTGTTATTTCATCTATTCAGATACTTGCTTAGTTAAAGATTTCTGAATATGAAATAATATCAAATATACTTTCCAAACAACATATATGAGGTTAATGTATTGCAAAAAATAATTGCTATACATACAGCACTATCTTACAAGTATAAAACAGATATGAGAGTAATTTATTTGGTTTAGAAGTCTACCAGATCATCAGCATTTCTGTTTACTGGATCTCCTTTTAATAACGCAATGATCATACTATGAAAGAAAAAAATAAATTATTATAAAAAAAAGAACAGGTTAAAGACAAAAAGCTTTTAATATATGGATATTACTTACCAGTAAAGGTAAAGAAAAAATAAGACTAAATAATATCCAAGATAGATCAAACAATTCCTAGTATGTCTTTTCAATTCTCCACGATTGTGGATTTCTGTAGGATCATATACACCCATATTTCCACTAGGAACACCAAAAAACTCATAGAACAACCAAAAAGTCATTGGTAAATTAACCAAAGTTAGTATTAATTGGCCGTGTATTAATAACAAAAATACCAAAAATGTATGCGTCACTAATTTTGGAGTGACCCACTGTAAAATACATAATAAACAATTAACAACTGTAAATCTTTTTCTTACTAATTAAATAAATTTAATACAATTACAAGTTTAAGATAGTTATAAATATGGAGGCTTTTACTTTCATATGATTAAAAATAACATATACATATAAAACAATTTAATATGATAATATTCTTAAAAATTTACCGCATTTAATTTTGAACAACATTGCTGAGCATTTAAATAATCACATTCGAGATCTGATAACGTAATAATCTATAAAGATACATCAAGAAAAATACAACGAAAATGGTGGAAATGTAAGAGAAAAATGGTTATTAATTATAAATATAAAACAACGCCGCAATTCGATAAAAAAAAAATAACGAGGCTAGATCAAATACGGCGCCGGTACATGTTTGCCATATTGCAGAAACAATATGATGTATAAAAATCCCTAGTAAAAGCTTGAAAATAACAATAATACATATATTGAAATATCATATATGTAAGCCATGTAGATTGTATGTGTAAGGTATATAGGTAAGAAAGGATACAAAATAGACTAAAAGAAAGAGCACAGATCCGGTATTAATTAAAGCGATGGCAAATAATAATGGCTCTGATATCAAGCCCATAGCGAAGATATGTCAATTTTAAGTAATGCACGCGCTCATAAATGTTTGTCTTCTTCTTTAGTATATCACTCAACCTATTTTCTGCACAGTAAGTTTTCATAAAGCATAAGTCAGTAACCGCGATAGAAGTCGACACTAACACGTGCGCCACTCTGTGTTGTATCATGGAATTTAAAAGTATACTGTCGATAACAATAATTCACATTTATGAATTCAACACCCGTGTTAATTCACATTCTATATATTTTTCTTACAAAAAAGAAAAAAAGAATAGCTTTATCAAAGAGATATAATTAAATATCGATTTATATTAAATTAAATTAACCTATTTATCCTTCCGTAACTTCGATAAATATTTGAAAGTATCATCTAACATTACGTATCATAACGTCTGACTCACACATTCGTCATCGTTCTTAGAAATTTAATCAATTCTATCAAGGATTCTATGAATTTAAATATTGATAGGCATAAAATATTGTTTTAATTCAACAAATAATGGAAAATTTCCAAGTATCTGTCATATAAACTATAAGTTTCTTACATTTTCATGATTATCATATCGTTAACCTATTTTAATGTATGATATTTGAAAATTTATTTTATATATACGAGATTTATTTATTATATAATCTACAGACAAAATATTTACTTCCTACTGTAATAAATACAAATTAATAAACTAGAATTTATATACATATATATATATATATATATAAAATATGTATGTATATAAATATAAAAACAAGTTTTCTACTTTACTTACCGACGTTTAAAATTTAGTTCTGACATTGACTACTTTCTATTGTCGGTACCATAGATTATATTTTTAGAAGTCCGAAAAGAATAAATTCTTTTATATAATATAAATCTAATAAAAACATTATTTCTTTCGTAAGGCTGTTCATTATCCTTGAAGTATTATTCTTAAACTCGCTTTTGGCGTAAGCGTTGTTTTTGACGCGTTTTACGTGAAAAATTAGTTTCATATAGTAGCGCCCTCTGAAATTTTGTGGCAAAAAAAGAAGAAGCTCGTAACTCCATTACTGATTTTCATATAAACAATTGAACGATGTGTTTTGATTTAGTGAAGTAAACAATTGCTTTTTTTTACTTGTGTTTGTAAATTGACGCTCAGATTTTCTAATTCATTCTAAACTTACGAAAAACCCATAATATAAAATAATTTTCATTCCATATTTTCATTTAATATCAAAGTCGTTGTCTTCATCTAATATCAATAAAAACGTACTGTTCACGATGATTAGTTTTTGAATTACAAGCGAAACTATGCATGATTTTCTTATAATTAAAATAATCACTTTTAAGAAGGAGCTGCTTTCAAAGATTTGCTTTATATTTTTAAATAACTAGTTAATGAATTTTTAGATCAAGATTTTTAGCAATTAATATAATAATTCTAATTTATCTTACACTGCAAAAAGGTATCTCTCGAAAAGATAGTAATCAGTTTCTATTCAAAAAGATAAGATTTATACTTTTCAGATACATTAAGATTGTTTTAAGGTTTTCTTTCGTATCGTAGAATTTGGAATCAAATTTTGTTGTTACGGTTTTTGATTGATAATTGATTAAATTAGAGCACGAAGCAAAAGAGAGACTATATGCCGAAAAGGCCTCCACAAACTGTGACTCAAGAGGGCAATTATAGGCTATGGAATTATTTTCGAAGATTCGCCAGAAACTTTCGAGAATAGATCTTAGTCATATTTTAATTTTACCATGTTCTCATTCAAAATGCTCTTATGGTGATGGGTGTAAGAGTGTAGATTTGAAAAACTGATACGACGTAACAATCCGTCTCCGGTTCCACATTGTCACGCGTACGCGAATAAAATTATTTAAATGTAATCCAGACGCACGCTATCATCAAAGAAAGATATACATATGAGATATTGAAAAGTATGAATTCACAGTCTACTAAAATTATTTACTTTAATCCACGCGAAACCAATTGTTATGTACACGTAAAAAGGGGAAATAACACAAGCTTATACGTCAATACGATAAATGTATGGTGGGGACAGCATTCCCCGTTTATATTCGTAGTTCATACATTTTCCATACCTTTCGCTAAAGTCACACATCCTTCGAACAAAAAGCAATGAATAGTCTTAAAACTAGAAAAAAGCATCTGTCCCAAACTAACCTTTCTACTAGACAAGACGCTGAAATATTCCTATACTCTGGCGACTCATGCGCCATCTATTGACATTACCACGAAGTACGATATCTATATGAAGTCGTCATCATCATAGTATACAACAATTTTCATGTATTGAGAACACTGCCCTCTTCCTTCAATGTCCTTTCATAGGTTTTTCGACAATTGGGTAAAATGGTATGTATTTTATATCCAAAAATTATGATTCAATCGTAACATAAAATAATTTTACTATGATAGAATATGAAACAGTAGTATTTTCTTATTTAGATGTTATAAATATTATAACAAAAACGTTGTATATCGATAATAAAATTACTTTAACTGCAAAATAAAATCATCAGAATGAACGTGTATAAACAATGATTTAAAACATCGATCAATGTTTTTTTGAGTAAAATTGTACGGTTCCAATACTTCTTTTTTTATTTATTAGAAGATATTATTTTGTTAAAATTAGTTGATCTTATTCAAATAACGTGTATGAATCAACATAACCTACAAAAAGTGTTTTGATTTTCTATTACAGACGGAAGCCACAATCAGAACTCGGAAATTTATGACAAATCGGCTACTATGCCGAAAACAAATGGTATGTTTTATAATACGAACAAATATATGTAATTTTTTAAGACAGTAATTTGTCATTTTTATAGTAATTATATGATATATTTTTATATTACAGGTTGTGGATGTGCATCATCCTGGTCAACCATCTGTTCGTAAAACAGAAATACGAGAAAAATTGGCCAAAATGTATAAAGTAACACCTGATGTCGTATTTGTTTTTGGGTTTTTAACACACTTTGGCGGAGGCAAATCTACAGGATTTGCTCTTATTTATGATACCTTAGATTTCGCAAAGAAGTTTGAACCAAAATATAGGTTAGCAAGGCATGGTCTTTATGAAAAACAAAAACAAACAAGGAAACAACGAAAAGAACGTAAGAACAGAATGAAGAAAGTTAGGGGTACTAAAAAAAGTAAAGTTGGAGCTGCTTCTAAGAAGGTAGGAAATACATTTACTTTTATATTTGATATGAGCGAGAATAAAATAATTTTAAAAATTAATTTGCAAAGAGAAATTCTCATTTATTGCATGTATTTATCTATATTATATTATGGCGATGGGCTTAGCAAATATATTTTTTCCAAATTTAAGAACTAAAATTTTCAATGTTTTAAGTATAAAAAACAAGATAAATAACGGCAGTATATGATTTTTTATTAAAGTTCTATTACTTTAAATTAATATCACAACAATTGTTTATATGGTCGTTTATTCTCTTTCATGCATGCTATGGTGGAATATGCTTTTTATTTACTTTCTAGGGGAGAAAGTAGACAAATGCTCATCATTTGCACTACAAACCTCAAGAAGGAATAGTCTCTTATTCTGACGCTTATATATGGTCAGCATGTAATCTCAAATTCTATTGTGTTTGATTATGGTTTTAATTAGTATTTCATATTGTTTGATTTTATTTGAAATATATCTTTTCAATTGCTTTCTTAAATAACTACAAATTTGCTGTAGAAGTTTCAATACTTATAATACATGATTTGTAAATCACTAGATAATTTATTAGATTGTTAAACGTATGAAGAGTATGTTTTAATCTAAAAAAAAAAAAAAAAAATGTGTGTTTTAATTTTATTTATAATTAATAATTATTTTCTTTATTTGCTAACATATTTAGTAATCAACTTAGAAGTGTAATAGTAATATAAATCTACTTTTACAATAATATAAAAGCTCCTCATTAAAATAAATCATGCTGACTTGAGTCTAACTTTGCTTATTCTTTTCTTATATTGCATAAATTTATAACACTTAATAATTCTTTTGTTTGGCTTATGGCTTGGCTTGATTTGATTTGGCTTGGCTTAAACAAAGTGTGATTATAGATATAGTAACTCCTTTGCAATTTTAACCAGCTTCTCATAGTATTTTCGTGTGCTTAATTTTAATATAATCATTTATCTTGCAGTAAACCCACTACACATCAGGAAGGCCACAATGTCCATAACATCAACATAAAAATTGTTATAATTAATTTGAACAATAATATTGAGATAATAATTATGATAAATTTTATGAAATAAAATAGTGTTCTTCTTGATAATAAACATCATCTTATGTATAATTTTTTATATATAATTAATTATATAGAAAATAATAAGCAAATAATAATTGACAGATGTATATTATAGATTTAAGATTACTTTATTACGGGAATATAACTTCAACAGAAGCTGAATTGCCTATTGATTCAGTTTCGTTGTTTTCCAGTAGTATCACAGATGCCTCGGTAGTATAACTTTCAATTGCATCACTTTCCGTTATGGTTTGCTCCGTCGAAAATGTAGTTTCCGTGGTTGGTGGAGACAACATGGTCTTGAATATATTGTTATAATTATCATTTGACCAATCATTATCAGATAATTGATGCGTTGATTGATCAGGCATGAATGAAGAAGGCATATCCCATTCCCTTGAATCATTATAGATAAATTCATTATCAATTGTGTCTCCCATTCGAATGAAATACCAACGACCAATACGAAATCCGATATCGTATTTCGGATCAAATGTTACTTTAGCTGGAATATACAGAAAATATAGAATAATTTGCGAAAATATAGAATAAAATGTGAAAAGGAATCTGAAAATCTTTAAAGGAAAAGCTATAACGACTTACACAAATCTACAAAGAATCCACCAGAGTTACGAACGCGATCTTGTATCTCAGCTTTGTAGAGATTTATCATGTCTCCATTTTCTGAATCGTTATATTCAGATTTCCTTCCTAACAGACGATCTTTTAAAGTCCGAAACCAATCTCGCACTCTTTCACCGAATTTAACACGTGTTAAATCTCCTCGGAATCCAATATTTTCTGAGAAAGTACGTCATATTGGTTTAGTATTATGAAAAGAGTAATTTTCATGATTTCTACTATTATTCCAATATAATATAATATTACATTATAACAGTATAACGTAATATTGTTTCATGATATTACAAATTCAAGTACATCTACCCTCAGCTAGTTTATTTATTTGCAATATTATTTTAAACATTTATAATGATTATTTTAAGATATGTAAGATCACAAAATTGATAATGAAATGACTTCTCAAACCGATCAGTATCGTAATCCTAACTATAGACAATACAAGACCTTCGTTATAAAGAGCAATTGAGGTAGAAATTTGACACGTCAAGAGAAACAGCAAAAGGATTGGTAACCACATGTTAACTCAACGCAAAAACGTTTTTATTAACAATAACTATATTTTTCCTTAGATTTATATATGTACGGCAGGAAGTACACGTCGTGCATATTATGATTATCTCGTTAGTGCTAGCAATTTTATCAATAATCAAAATAAATTCAAGTTACTCTTGCGAACGATTGACCTTGACCATTGTGATATTGATATAATAGGATATCTCAGATTGAGAATAACAGATAGCGTCGCACTATGCCAATGTTACATGACATATTTTATTAACGTATTGCATTATTATCAGAATTATACTGGGATAACTTGGTTTTTGCTGTATTGCATAAAAGTTAACTCGTCTAGAGTTGCATTGTTAAAACTACAGCATATCTAACGATCGTGGGTCATGTGGAAACATCAAGATTTTAGCTGGTCTCGTATTAAACGTGACATCATTATGTTGTGGCACGGAATATTTACTCTGGATTTTCATTGATCGGAGAATGCCCATGCTACCCAACGAACTCTCGAGGTCTTTAATCTCCCAAACAGCCAGCCCATTTCTATCTTGGCTGGGTAGAGAGACATGTCACGTGATGCAGTGACGGAGGAACATTTCTGTAGACCCGTAGTAGGATACACAAAACGACCAAGTATATACTGATGTTATCTTGGCTAGACAATTGTCATTACACGATCTGCATTACCTAATACATTTGATTTGTTCAGTTAATTTTTTTGAAATTATGTACTGTCGAGGTTTAACAGAAATTGATAACTTGATTAATCTTTGAACAGTTCCAACATTTGTTGTATGGTAAATATCTAGCTATAAAACAAACAAGAATGGTTTTAGCTTTTACAATATAATCAAATATTCTTATTTAACATTGATTTTATTGTATTCGTCAATGTGCATATCTCTTAATAATATAATTACCATATTTTTTATTAACATTCAAATGTCTTTGACGTAACTTGATATTAAATTTCTCATACTTTACAGTGCCTATATGTACATGGTACAAAAGTACAAAGTTATATTCAAGCAAATATACAAAAATTATATAATTTCTCGTATTATGGTGTAATGTAATTCAATTGAATGCAGTAGAAATTACTGACGGTCATACGGCGCATGCTGCTTTCGTCACGATAACGATCGGCATAGCGATGGAATTTGTTAAAAAGACATATAACGCTAGAAAAACATGAAAAACGTACGAAGATGGCTCATGTAGATACAATTGACTCGTCGTCGAATGTTTGGGTTCAACGGAGATAAGAAGCAATATAATAATCACAGATATCTTGTTGATCTTATAGAGCGTGAAAATTCTACAGTTAATACAAGTGAGAAAGATAACGCGTTAGAATACTGTAACATTTCAAATAAATATAATATCATCGATCTGCCTCGAAAGCATTAGAAGCTATATATTTTGGGAATGTAGGTTTATGATCAAGCATATTGCGGCCTCCTGTGTTAAAGACTTTTCTTGAACAATTAAAAAACATATCTTTGGAACGTATAACATAGGAAACGCTTGTAGTTTAAAAAAGATTTTTATTTTTTTTTCTTTTTTTTTTATTTTTTTATTTTTTTATTAATCAAAATAGATAAGGGTTATAGAAGGTATTAAATCAAAATAATTGTAGCATTAACAGAAAAGAAGAATTTTAAAGTAAATGAGTCGAACGAATAACTTGGGCCAGTCCTGTACCTACCCACACTCGTTTAAACGTTGGTCGGGCTATACCCTTGTTAGAAAACAGTTACCTTCCTACCCAAGCGTATTTCATACGAAAGGAGAACCTCACGTTTATCGATTTAGAATTGATATTCGGTTCTAATGTTGGAATTATCGGACGCCGAAGCGCCTGCTTATGCTAAAAAGTAAAAAGTTTCGAAGAAAAATAATAATCAGAGACGATAAATCGTGATCGTGATTTTCAATAGGTAAAGCTTTGTGCAGCTGTGCTTGCCTGTAACGAACGAGGAAGAAACGCTGAGCCAAGTGGTCGTGGAGTGGGGAGGTAGGAACAATATGTCTACTACCAATTCGAGCCGCTTGAGAACGATTCCGTTCAGCTTGGATTTATTAAAGGTTTTAAACATTGAAATAATTCCTTGTTGATAAAGTTAATTGAACTTTAGATTAAAATGTTTGGCGAAGGTGCAATGTGGGATGATTATGGGAACAATAACGAGGATAAGGATAAGGAAGAACCGCCTGAGAGACTTGTGGTTGATGTAGATATACCACTACTTAAGATTGAGCCAATGTCCCCAACTAGGAGTAACTCTTATGAATCCCTACAGGTATATTATGTATAGTTTGTCTAAATACCCTAGTATTTATGGTATTTACTTAAGATTTTTTTTGGATTCAACGCGTTTGGTAACTTTCATTGTATTCAATCGTAAGAATTTTAGATCAATTAAATGTGTCAGTATTATATCTTCGATGATCAGTGTTGGGGACTACTTACTTGACGTAGTAATGGAAACCTTTTTGTGCTATACTTTAAACGATGTGTTTGTCGCGATTAAATACGATCCAGATGATTTATTGATTTTAATCATGCGTCGTGATGATTTATTGGAGAAAAAAAAAAGAAAAAAAAAAAAGAAAAAGAAATAGTTTTTTAATAATTGGTTAAAAAACATTATTTATACATATTTTCCATAAAAAACATGATATATGTATTTTATTGCAGAGTCCATCACAATTGCCTATTGTTACCCCATTCAAGTTGAAAGATCCAATAATTCTTCTCGAAAGATGTGATAAAATTTGGGAAACTCTTAAATTAATTAAAAATGTACAAAGTAAAGGATCAGAAAATGTGATTAATAATTCTATAGAAAAAATAGATACGACAAATTTGACTGAATCTTCTTTCGAAAAAGATCCAGAACCATCATATATTATATATCAACCAGTATTGGGTAATAATAACAGTGCATTACCAAATTTCAAATTTTCAGTTAAAAGCACTAAGAAATTATTTCATTGCAATGTATGCGGTAAAGAGTATAGTGAAAATCGATCCCTTAGATCCCATTCACAAAAAATACACGGAATATATATACCACCTAAACGTAAATACAATAAGTCTAAATACAAAGAGATCAGTAATGAATGTATAAATTCTGATCCTATTGCACAACCTACAAACTGCACAAAAATAAATGAAAACGATTTTCAAACAGAAAAGAAAACTAATTTGTTAGATAAGGATATTGTCCAAACAAAATATGCATATCGTGGAAAATGTCCTCTGTGTAAACGCACTATAACAGATTTGCATAAGCATTTAACTGAATATCATAAAATAGGGTGTCCAAATCTTGTTATGAAAGAATTAGAAAGTAATGCGCTAGTATCTCCAAATATTAGTCTTCAGGATTTAACAAAAGCAATGGTTAATACAATGTCATCATCTGAGGTTTCAGATAATGAGAGTACAATGATATCAGAACAAATGCTACAAAAAAAGATAAACTTGAATGAAATACCAAATGTTGAAAATGCTTCTGAGAATTTATATACAGAAGAAGTTTCCAAATTCAAATGTGAAATATGCCTTGGAGTATATGCCAGTTATAATAGTTTTTATAAACATAGTCGTATTCATAGGAGTCGAGGAGAAACTAAAAATAATTTCAATGTTCTCAAATGTCGTTACTTAAATTCTCCATTAAATGCCAAACGTACTGAGTTATTATTATCCACAGTTACTTCTAATCCACAAAATAAAGAAAAGACTAAAACATTTTTATTGGATTCCATGGAAGGTGTGAATTCACAAGAGCATGAAAACAATTCTTATAATTACAACAATAGAACAAGAGGAAGTAAAAAATATCTTGATAGATCATGTATTTGTGGAAGATCATTTCGCGAATATCATACTTTAGTATTACACAAAAATAGTTGTAAGTTTAAAGATACTAGTGAAACAGAGTCCTTTATGGAAGACAATCCTGACCGAGATTCTGGAAGTGGTATTAATATTAAAATAAAGAAGAAAAATGATTCTTATGAAATAGTTAGCAGAGATAGTGGTGATGAAAATAAATCTAAGGATTCTGGCCATCCTTATGACTGCGATACTCCATCAGATATTTCAGATATTATTTTTGAAAATACTAATGAAGTATGTGAAGAAAATCATTCTTTGAACGCACTTGAATCCTCTAAATATAGTAAAAATCATAGTATACTGAAAATAGAAACGATTGATGAAAACATTGATGTTGATATAGAGGAAGATTCACGGAATATACCACTTAATGAAAATGAAAAAAATAATCAGATTAATGAAAACATGCAAATTAGAAAGACACAGGAACAAAAAGGAAATATTGAAGTAGTGCCTCCTACATATTTATGTGAGACAATTATGACAGAACAATCAGAAACGACAGATGATTTAAATATTTTAAAAACGAAACAAAAGTCAATCGATGCGGAAAACACTACAGATTTAATCAAATCTAAGAAAAAAAAATCAATTGAGAAAACAAAAACTTCAAATCTTTTTAAAAAGAAAAAGGAAAATTTGATTAAAATTGATAATCAAAAATCATTATCTAATACATCAATGTATGTAAACACAATCTGTCCCTGTGGTGAATCATTTCAGACTTTGAGAAGCTGCAATTCACATATAGCAAAATGTCATCCATTATTTCTCAGATGCGGTTACTGTACAGAAAGATTTAATAGTATTGGTGAATACAATAATCATAGGTGTAATGTGAAGGTAGGGAAAAAGTTTAGTGAATTACAAGCAGATATGTCTTGTCCTTTTTGTCATACTATTGTAAGAAACAAAAATGAATTTGATCAACACATTAAATTTCAACATTTTGATCCAGAATTACCTTATCAATGTCATGAATGCACACAAAAATTTCCTAGTAGTACAGGGTGTCAATTACATTTTCAAAGGGCACATGGCAAATGTGTATGTAATGTGTGTGGTACAAAATTAACTGCCGCAGCAAAACTTAGACATGAAGGATATCATTATGGTCTTGGGTTCCCATGTCACATATGTAAGAAAACTCATTCAAGTCGAAAACATTTAATAAATCATTATGAAAATATACATGGGGAAACTGATAAGTTAATGACATGCAATATTTGCTTACAACCAATAAAGAAAAAGTCATATAGTTGGCATATTTATTCTCATAAAACTGTAACAGCATGTAAACTATGTAAGAAGGTCTATTGTGATGCAAGAACTTTAGAGCATCATGTTATATCATCTCATCAAGGTAAATATCCCTGGATTAAATGTAGTTTTTGTACCAGAAAATTTTGCAATAAAGAGTTACTAGAAACTCATATAAAGAAAGAAAAATGTAATCGTTATCTTCTCGAAGTTCAAAAGAAGTCAAGAAAAAGTTCAAAAGATCGTACTTTACTGCATAGTTAGTGTTTTAAGGCAATGTATTTTTACAATCTTAAATCAATTTTGTTTCCTTAATGAGAATAAATTAAAATTAAAGTACATATAATTTTATTGCATTTGATAAATTGTTATGATAAAGATAATTTACATTTTGATTTATATTTAACATAATATAATCGATTATTCAACATTTTTAATATAAATATTTAGTGTCATTGCCCTAGTTAAACTAATTGACTGCTTATATTTGACTTAGATAAATAGAGTATTGTGATAATTGTAATATATATTTATAATAAATGCTTGTGCTTGGCTATATGAATATCAATATCGATAATAATTATAGCTCTTGACTAATGCACTCTACAAATTTAAAATATAATCATCCCAAATCTTTAATATTATAAGTGTCACTACACTACATTACTATTAACAAAATAATAAATATTATTCATTTGAATACTTTATATTTAATGCTTCCATGTTAGAAATATTGTAAATATTCCTGCTACAAAGATAAAGTAGATGTTTAAATAGCAAGAATATTGATTGTAATTTTTTTTTTATTTTTCAAGATAAATCGTTGAAATTAATAATTTAATGACTTAACAAATGTAATAATATGTAACATTAATTAGAAAATCCATAAACATACAAATATATATACTTAAATACTATAGTAAAAATATATTTTTTAATGTCATAGTTTTAATCATTTATGAACAAAATGTTGATGTAATCTATAAGAAAATGTACAACTCTCTTAATATACACCAAAGGGCAATGACTAATAAATATAATAGAATTGTTACGACACAATTCCATTCCAAATATTGTATGAAGAATTTCATTTTTTTTTTTATTATTAATTAAAACTAAGAATTTAATAAGACCAAATTAAATATTAATTGTAATACATTAATTAAACATGTACATGTACATATACATGTATAGGATAGATTATATAAAGTATTACAAATTATTTACATTGGAAACATTATAGGATTTAAATATTATTTTATATCCATAACTACATAAATGATTTATTTATTTAATGGAAAATAACTTTAAATTCATACCTATAGTAATTTGATAAAAACAATTTGTGAAACTTTATGCATATCTCTCTTTATATGTATGTGCATATACGTGTACATAATATATATAATTATTTTTATAATAGGTTATTAATTGACTGTGCAACTTTGCGCCGATAATTCTTGATTTTAACAATTTCTTTAAAAATGAAAAATAAATATAATTAATAGTTAGTATAAAAAATGTAATAGGAATTTATTAATTAAATTTTAATTTAGATTAAAAATATTTCTATTTTTCTTTCTTTTCTTTTTACTATTACAAGTGAAACTTCAAAAAAAAAAAAAAAAAAGTTTTTTATATCTTATAAATTGTTTCACAATTTTGGTGACAAATTATTTGAATCAAAATGAAATACAATTATATATTATAAGAAATGTGTATGTAAAATGCTTTCAATTATATGTATAAGTGTTGTGATTGAATATAATAATTACATGAAACATGTGTGATTGTTATAATTCACAAAAGCATATTTATGTTCGAATGTTAAATGAATAAATTTTAAACTTTTGATTTATGTTTTTCAACAAAATTTTATGCTATTTTTAGGTTCATAAAAAACTATTAATCATGTAATAAATTGGACAGCTTCTATGATATCTTTAGATAAAATGAATATTTTTTCTTTTTTACAAGAATTCAATTGAAGAATTAAAATATTAATTTGACATATGTATATATGTAAAAGAAAAAATGAGAGTATATGTAATGAAATTATATATAAATGAATTAATAAAAATATCATTTTTCATGATATATATAATATGCATTTTACAAATTGATTTTAATAATGAATAAGAGAATCATTATATAAGATGTAATTGAGATAATTTATATAATGTTATGTCACTGGTGAAATATCATTGTATAATATATTAAAGTTTTCAATAAAATATATATATATATATATATATATATATATATTATATGTATATATATAATAGATTATATGTACACAGACATGACATTTCAATAAGAAATTAATGAGACGATAATTTATAAAAATGTTTTAATGAGAAACTCTATAAATCAAATAACATTTAGTGGTATAATAAATTTAACTAAATAATATAAAACTAATTAAAAAAATTAATTTGACTTTTAAAAGATTCCAATTGAATGAGCTAATCCAGCATAAATGTGTAAAGTTATCACTCCCATAATTAAAGTTGTAAGTGCTTTTACGACTAATGTTGACCAAGCACCAGCTAATAAAAGAGATGTTAAACAATCTAGAACAAGTGGCCTATACACCGTTAATAAAAGCATGCAAATAACAATAGGAACTAAGCTACGTTTTAAATCATGTCTTGACCACAGCCACACAAGTGTAGCAGTGGTTATATGTTGTACCTAAAAAAGATATGTATATAATGTATATTTTAAAAAGTTATTTAATATCATCTTTATTGCAGTAGACAAGTTAATTTCTTACCAAGTTAATATTAGACTCTAAACTTTTCTGTATATATTTCCAATCAAATTCCGCACCACGTGCACCAAACCATAACAATAGGAATCTTGTGAGAAGAACTTCTGCACCTGCCCAACCTATTCCTGCAGTTAATACTTTAGCATGACCTTTACCAGGAATACCATTAAGTACTAGGAGGATACCTACTAAATCTGCTAAATCTATAGAAGACTTCAGAAATTCCTACAAGTAAAACATACGATATCTATAATATATATATATATATATATATATATGCAGATTTTTTTGTAGTAATATTATAATATATAAAATTATAAACTACGATTTTATTGATAACTTAATAATTTTTATACGTACACCAAATAAATCAAAACCTTCCTCTCCAACACTATCTGCTGTAGGAAAGAAAGTAGCAAGTGCTAACATTTTTACCAATTGTGTAAAGATGTAAATACCTCCAGCTTGAATACATTTCCAAAAAGCACCATATTCCGATCTGTAAATAATACATTGTATTAAAGATATTTTCATTTATAATATGTCCTAAAATAACAATATATGCATATACATATATACATATATATATATACTTACAAACCAGAGTATTTATAGGTCATATAATATGGAACATATACTAATGCTAAACAATTACCAAAATGATATAGGGTCATTTTTTATAATAAGTTTTTACTAATTTATTTATTTATCATACAATAAAGAAACACGATTCCTTCACCAAATCATGATTGTAAAATAACCTAATCAAAAGGTAACTTTATTTTTGTCAGGGTTACCACTGCACATCTTTGAGAAATTCAAGGTCATCGTACCAACATTTATTACATAAATTTTATAAATGCAAGTATCTGGAGTTTCATACCTGTAAGATCTACTATCATTTTTATTTGATATATAAAAAAAAATTTTCAATAAATATTAATTTATTTAACATTTTAAATGTCCTTTGTTTTCCAGCTCATTTTCATTTAAATACCCACCAATCAGTGACTAGAAGAACTATAATGTGAATAATGACTCCACAAAATCATTAGAATTATTAGAATCATTAAAATCATTAAGATTTATTGCTGTTTGAATGTCACTCTTGGATTTTTTCAAATGTTATCGTTTCTTATCGATAGAAAGTTTTAATCTAAAATATCTAAGACTACCATTTAGAAATTAAAATCTTCAGAGATAAATAGCGTTTGCATATCGAGGTTTATGAAAGTGAAAATTAAATTAGATCATATTATATCATATATAATATAATCAGATCAGATATATTATATTATAAATCGGAAATATTATTTAATAATTTTTTTTAATACAAATATATTTATTTTTATTTAAAACATATATATTTATCTAATAATTTTCCAATAAATAATAATATTAGGTAAAAGAAAAGAGTTCATTAAAACATCAAATATAATATTATTAACTATGGATCAAAATAATTTTAAATCTCTTAAACTTGGATTTATTGGAGGTGGTAATATGGCAATTGCTATTGGAGCAGGTCTCATTCGTAAAGGTAATATAAACAAATAAATAAATATAGAAACAATATTTTTTAATAATCCTTTAGTAAATGAAAAATTTTTTTATATAGGTATCCTAGATCCTAAAAATGTTTGGGTGTCTGGACGAACTAAAAGAACACTTACTTTCTGGAAAGAACTTGGTGCTCAAGCAACATTTAAAAATGGAGAAGTTGTAGAAAAAAGCGATGTTATATTCTTATCAGTTAAACCACATATGCTTGATGATGCACTTGATGGAGTTGTAAAAACACTTAAAGAAAAAATTGATAATAAATTATATGTCTCTATACTTGTGGGAATGTCATTAGATACTTTGATAGAAGTAAATTGCAGTTATATTTAATTTTTTATTCATATTTGAAATTATATTATATTTATTCATACTTAAATTTATATGATTAAAATTTTTTCAGAAACTTGCTATTGTTGATTCAAACCCTAGAGTGATCAGATCTATGCCAAATACACCTATAATGGTTGGAGAAGGTATTACAGGTATGCCGTTTTTGAAAAATACCTAACAAAGATTTTCACCGTACTGTATTGATGTATTTAACAAATTTTAGTTTACTGTAGTAAAAACACAAATCAGGAGGATATAATTTTAATAGATACATTATTTTCGTTTCTTGGGATTAGTCAGAATGTCCCTGAATCTCTTATGAATGCGATTAGTGGTTTGTCAGGTTCTGGTCCTGCTTATGTAAGTAAAGACAATAAAAAAATGTATTATCATTAACAATAGATTTATAAGATTCTATTTTCAGGCATATCTCATTGTAGAAGCTTTAGCAGATGGTGCTGTGAAAATGGGAATGCCTAGACCAATGGCAACAAAATTTGCTGCTCAAGTACTTGTAGGAGCTGGTAAAATGGTAATAGAAACAGAACGACATCCAGGTCAATTAAAAGATGAAGTTTGTTCAGCTGGTGGAACTACTATCACTGGAGTTCATGCTATGGAACGCGGTCAAGTTAGGTACATTATTAAATGTATATAAATATATGTATGTATATAAATTCCATAATAATTTAAATACAAATTCATTTTATATTATTTTCACAGGGGATCTATGATGAATGCTGTTGAAGCTGCTGTTAATAAAGCTAATGAAATGAGTAGAATATTTAAAGCTTAATTTATTAATAGATCTTTAAATTTATTTTAATAAGAGTTTATCACATATATAGAATTAAATTGTAGCAGTAAAATCAAAATAATCATAAATATATAATCTTAACTTAATCATATAAATAATAAATATAATATGAATAAGGTAAAAAGTAAATAATGTCACAATTTTCATCATAGAATAATTTTGATTTCATTTTGTTTACAATATTAATAAAGTTTACATATTTATTAAGATTGTATATGTCACAATTATTCTTTATGTCATATTAAAAGGAGAATGATTTTATAAAAAAAAATACCTATGTTTTTGCATATTCCACACAACGTGAAGGATCTGTAGGATAGTATTCTTGGCATTTAGTCATTAACCTTTTTACTGCTTGAATATATTTTCTTTGTTTTTCATCATTCATTACATGTGCTACATTTTTTGAAAAGATCTTTTCTCTACCAGTACGTGCGTGTATACCAACCATAGTTACACCAATAGGCCAAGGAGAATTTCCAATTGCCATTTGTAAATATGCATCACTAGCCTAAGATATAAAATTTTTTTAATAATGTCTATAAGGCATACGTAATCTATTCAAAAAATATTATACATACCAGAATATAATTACGTTCAAGTAAATGTTTCACAATTTCGGTTAAACTATCAGTTATGTCCTCAGGAAGTGATTTATTTTTCAGCTTTCTGAGAAGTGGTTTTAAATATTCCCTTGTTTGAGCATAAGTTGCACTTGCCATTTTACCTTGTGTACTCATTTTTTCTTCAGATGTTCTACTATTTAACTGATTACCCCATACTTGTACTAGGAATTGAATAAATTGGATAATAACATTTATATCAAAGTCCCTGTCACCTTTGTTTAATTTGTCAGACATTTTTTGTATATCTTCGTAAGTGGTACCTTCTTCAGGTACATTGACATCTCCTTTTACATTACGATCTTGTGATTTTGTGGATGTTAAAATTTCATTTAAATATGCTTGATCTACCTGTTCCATTGCTTCTTGAAAATCATTTCTAAAGCCCTTTAATATATATAATTTTATATATTTTCAAACATAGCAATAACAAATAACTTTGTTGATATAACGCTTTATTACCTTATTTACTTCTGCTTCAAAAATTTCATGTTTTCTTAATCTTTTAAACGCTTCTTTTTCTGATTCTCCGAATAACAATATAGGTTCTCCCCGTTCTCTTAATCTTCGTATTACTTCTGGCCTAGGTAATGTTGATTGTTCTAAACTATTATCTTTTATTGATTCTTGCTGTTCTTGATTCACATCAGATTTAACAATATCGATACTAATATCATTAGTCTCATAATTTTCAATTTTATATTGAGACTCCAATTCTCCCCTTCTGAAGTATTTCTTATTTTGTTGCTAAATAAATGTCAATATTTATAAATAAAAAAGATTTTCAAATGGAGAAATAAAGAAAATATTATACTCACTAAAACATTACTTTCTTCTAATTGTTTCCGCTTTTTTAATATTTCTGCTTTCAAAATATTAAGACCACCACCAATTGACATTACTGAATTATTTCTTTTATCATATGACTATACACACTTGTGCAATCATAACCATATATATATATATATATATATACAATCATGACTATTCTAGTTATCTCGATTTATATAGGAATTTAATCGCTTGAGAAAGTAACTAGTGGTAAAACTGATAATTTACAAATAAAAACACAGTTGTCGGTATTTAATTTTTATTTCCAGTGATTGTTCCAGTGAGGAACTATATAAATATGACGTGCAAATACCTTCGATTAATAAAAATTGTACAGGTTTACTGTCAGCAGGTTCTATCAGTGCATATGATAAGGATATAATTGTAAGATTTACTCTGTGCCAATTTTGTTATATTTTTTTTCTAAAAGAACTTTTTAATAATATTCAAAATGATCTGTGCCCGTGCATTGCATTTTGTATTTAAAATAGCTGAACGCAAAGAGACAATGAAATTTTATCGAGAAATTCTTGGAATGAAAGTAGGTTTATTATTTCATATGATTGCATCATTATGTTCTATTGTTCTAATATTAATTTTGATTTAGGTATTGAGACATGAAGAATTCGCCGATGGATGTGAGGCTGCTTGTAATGGGTCAATTTATTTTTTTTTTTTATTAATTTTATTTTATTTATATAATCTCTATATATAAATAATTAATTATTTATGAACATTATTATAGTCCTTACGCAAATCGATGGAGTAAAACGATGATAGGATATGGACCGGAAGATAATCATTTTGTAGTTGAATTAACTTACAACTATGGAATTTCTCATTATGAAAGTGGAAATGATTTTCGTGGAATAACAATTCGTTCTAAAGAAGCAATCGATAGAGCAAAAAGCAGTGGATGGCCTGTTGTTGAAGAAGAAAATGGAAAATTTTTATTGCAAGCACCAGGTGGTTACAAGTATTATATTATTAATGAACCACAACCTAAAGATAAAGGTAATGTTAATAATAACAATAAGATAGATTTATTTTCTTGTACAAATTACGCTTTATATTTATATTTTCTTGTGGGTTTATAATTGAATTTTTTTATCACAGATCCCGTACAGAAGGTAACATTATCCAGTTCGAATCTTAAAAGCACTATAGCTTATTGGAAAGATATTTTAGATATGAAGGTAATCGAACAGGAGGATAATAGAGTTTTGATGTGTTATGACAAAGATCAAGCTAAACTTGAATTTGTAGATATAGGTAAGTATTTTTACATTTATTTACAATTTCATTTGAAATGTAAGATGTTAATAATTTAAGTATTTTAATTAAATATATTAGGTACTAAAGTGGATCATGCAAAAGCATATGGTCGTATAGCATTTTCTGTACCATTGGCTGAACAGCCAATAATACAGAAAAAGATAAAGGAAAGCGGAAACAAAATATTGACAGATTTGATAACTTTAGACACGCCAGGAAAAGTTTCAGTAAGAGTTATCATTCTTGCTGACCCAGTGAGTAAAATAAAATATTTCTATATATCGATATATTTGAGAATATATATATATATATTATATATATATTTTTTTTTTTAAATTATAGAAGGTATAAATCTTCTTTAAACAATATGTTATATTACTACTAAGTTTTATTTCTTCTAGGATGATCACGAAATATGTTTCGTTGATGATGAAGGATTTCGTAAATTATCCGTTCCAGATTATCCAAGTGAAAAAATTCTGGATAAATACATTGCAAAATCGTCTGTTGGGAACGTTTTAAAAATATAAAAAATTAAGCAACAACTATTTTTATGTTGAACTATAATAATAACAATATATTATATATTATATATATATATATAGGGTAGATACTTCTGGGTTATTACTTTGTAAATATTAATGATTGTTTAATTTGGTAATGAATTATCAGTGCTTTCGATTAATATAAATTAAAATAATATATTGATTTTTAATATTACTAATCATGTTATCAAAAAGTCCTTTGTATTTTTTTTCCCAAAATAATTCTGGAAATTGATAAAAAAAACTTGAGTCGGATATTTTTAACAATTCTATATAAATTTTATTTTCATATATATATATATGTATATATATATATATTGCTCAATTGCACAAATGTTTCATATTCATTAATATAAATACATCTTATTTTAAGTATAAAATATTTTTTAAATATTTATTTAAATGCAATGGTTATGTGATAATGATAAAATCATAAAATAAGAAAAGTTTATTTATTGCACTTTAAAGCTTCAAAATTCGTTTTGATTTATCTCGTGTCGTAACAACACATTTATCAACGTAGTATATATACTATGTACTATATTGATGCTGGATGTGTCCGACAATCGGTTCGTTTAATGAGAAATCGTAGTTCACTGAATTATATATTATCTCTCTGGGGTCAGAGATGACTTAATTTTTTCATTTTATTTACATATAATCATTGATTCGTAGAAATTCATTTCTTAATGCGAAGTATAATTTCAATAGACGCGCCACGCAGTTTATTTGAAAACACGAGAGGAACGAGACATATTTTCAATCGTTCCCGATTAAAATGATGTGGCTAAGGATATTTCTTCTACTCTTTATTTTGGGATTTATAGACATAGGTTAGTCTATATTTTTTAGAAATTTTTTATTAACAAAATTGTATACACTGTAATATAATTCTAAATGTAAAGTAATTTGTGAAAAATAAGCGATCGCATATGTACGATTATTTTTTTTATTTACACAGAGTTTTATTCGTTGATTAATTTTGCTTATCTCGGTGATATTTACTAATGTTCAATATTGATAGATAATCATTAATCACCTTACCTTATATTTTATCATATATTACATATTTTTAACAGGCTATACAAGTGCAAAAAGATGGTCGTCTTCATTACGCTTCGGCAATAGTCGTTCATCTTCAAGTCATCGAATTTCTAAGCCTACATTATCCTCGAGTGGAGGATATTCTTCAAGAGGACACGCTTCAGCTTCGCCAAATCATGAACAAATTTCGTCGATAAATTCAAAACCATTAAATACTGGACATATCAGAGGTATATACACATGAATAATCTATATGTAAATAGATAACATTGTTTTTTTTACAAATGACTTCGATAATATATACAAATTAAAAAGTCAAAATTTTCAAATCGCAGCGATATCGTACGTATTTACATTTGTAAACATTTTCTTGTTTATCAATAAATATAAAAAATAAATATTAATATTCTAGGAAGTCCAGTTCCACATCAACAATCAAATAAAGATATAAATACACCATTTTTACATGGCGAAGGAGGGGGAGCAATAAAGCCAAGTGAGTTACACTAATTATATATATATATATTTTATTTTACTTTATTCTAAAAGACTTCATTTTTATTTCCTAGAAACTGACGTAAATCATCAGACGTCTAACATAGGCTTTAACGCGAACGCAAAACCACCATCACCTTATACTCCGTCAGCTCCAATTATACCAATTCATGACTCAAAGCCTCTTTTTTCGTCTGCACCACCTCAAGGTAATATATATTTGTATATAGAAACGACAGAATACTTTGTTAAATTATAATAATTCAATATTATATTTCTAAGCACCATCTTTTGGACACTCTGGTACACATGTTAATCAAGGATCTGGTATTCCTACACACCAATCTCCAATTGGATTTAAACCGGACGTATATCCTAACAATAATTCGCCAATTGGTTTTAAATCAAGCGTATATCCCAACAACAATTTCGGATCGCAACCTTCACATCCGCATAATCCTCCATCATATCCATCACCTTCAATGCCTTATCCAAGTCAAACAATTCCTCATTCTAATCCTGGAAGTCCATTTATACCTCCGATGTCACAACAACCGTTTGGTGGTCATTCAATGAATTATCCGCAAGGACATCCTTCATTTCCTGTAACACATAATTATCCATTACAATCCGGTGTTCCACATTATCCAAATATGCAAACTAGTCACCCAATGAATAATCATTATGCACCTGGTGGTTATGCACCTGGTGGTTATGGACCTGGACCTGCTTCCTATCCTCAACAACAAGGACAATATCTTGCTCAGCCTGCAGCACAACCTTATATACCAGGACAAACGGTATTAATGGTTCCAGGCCAGCAAAGTAGTGGTAGAGGTTTTGGTGATATGATTAAGGAAGCTTTGGTATTTTCAACTATCAATGCTGGCGTAAATAGACTGATAAATCCTCATCAACATTATTACGAACCTAAACCAAGTGGTACCGAAGGTTCAACTGGTGGTAGTACTGGTACAACAACGCACATAACTTACAACAATCAATATTTTAACAATTATCCTGTCAATGGGACAAATGGAACAATGGATCCACAAAATATGGGTTCTCCTCCAAATCCAATGTATAATCCTACTGGATCGAATCCACAGCAAAATTCAGCTATACCGATAGCTAATAGCGGAATTTATTATCCACCATCTAATATCCCTGATATATCGAATGGGAACAATGTTAGATCACCGAATCAATTAGGTGTAACAGGTGTTTCAATGGTTACAAAAAATGATACAAATTTGTACGTTCAAGGAAATGATTCTAATAAGCAAATAAATAATACAACCGCTAATATGGCTGATATTTATCAATATATTATTAGCGATAGTGATCTATATAAAATATCGGAAGATCTATTTGCCCAAGAGGAACACAATCTAACTAAATATATAATAATGAATTTGCAAGCTCGTTCAAACCCTGGTAACGTAACAGACGTCGCTGAAAGACAGTAATTACCTTTTATCTTTTTATATAATCATTTATATAACAACATAATTATTATATTATAATGATTTAGGTCGCATAATAAATGAAATTTTCTTTTCAGACTATTGTACGTACAATCAGATGCATACAATATTTTAACGATCAAAGTTATTCGCATGTTGTACGAGAATTATGAACGTAACTCAAGTAAAAAAGAAAACAGAACTTTCGAAAAACGTATGGAGGAAAATATTTTCTTGGATGTTATTTTAAATACGAATGTTATGCACACAGCGATGAAATGGTTGTCATCACGTGGCTTCATTGATCCCGATGATTTTGAAAGAAAAGACATTCTACGTCACATTTGGTTCACCCAATTTCATGGCACTTCTTCAGGATTTGAACGTGTCTTTGCGTCAGAGATTTATGGTGATACCGATATTTTAGGTGTCCAAGATTGGATCTATTTTAATCACGAAGAATCATCGAAAAATATCAATTATATGGGATACGTTGATAAAATGGATCTTGGAAACGTATGCATGAAAATAATTCGTTATATTATTATTATTATTATTATTATTATTAGTCAAATGAATTCTTATTTTTTTTGAATTTCAGAAAGCTTCACTAGTTAAATTAAATTTCAATATGAATGGTATCATCAGACCAAATGTCACGATATTCGTAGGTACAACACCGGAACTTGAAATGGCCTTATATACGATATGTTTCTATGCTAGACCAAATAATCTATGTCCAGTATCACTTGGTAATACTAAGTTCAATATTTATACTCATGCCTTCAGATACTTTGGAAAGGATCTCATAGATCTCGCTTTACCAATAATTTAAATATATTTCAACTAATTAAGTAGATAAAGTATAAATAAATAAGATACAGAATTATATATAATAAATAAACAAAATATTAACAATTACAAATATTTGAAAAGACAGAAAATTAATTAATTTATTCTAAGAACTTCATGTTTATTTTTATAAATGATAAATTAGATGAAAAACAAAAATTTGTCACTAAAGAAAAAGATACAAAAAAAAAAAAAAAAAATGCCTGTAATACGTACCATTTATTAAAGGAAAATAATTAATGGATAATTTTGTTTAAAAAAGATCCATGTAATCAATAGATGATCCTCCTGGATTTTTCTTTTAGCGTGACGACGTCCGCAAACGACCAAGATTTAATTTTTTCTGAAAAATATAAAAAAAAATTCTTTTTTGTAAATACTAATTATGTTTCAGGATATTGAGTTTCGATTTATAGAACTTCGGACAAGAGATAAAATTTTTCTTGAAAAGATGTATTTAATTTAATGATCAAACTTGCTATACCACATATAAGTTCATGAGCGATGAAGATCTCTCCGTGAAGAGATCCCCACTCTTTCCAGATTACCTCGAAGTGATTAATGGAAAGAGAAAGCCCACGAGAATACATGACTCAATACTGACGAGTCGCATATATCTGCTGTTAACCGAGTCTTGTATTTGTTGCGCTACGAGCTGTGAAATACAGTAGTAGCACGTCGAGCTAGCAGTGAAATAGTTCATAGAAATTTTTCTCGTATAGATTTTCGTTTTATCATTATCTCTTTGTGTCATCTAAATTATTTATTAAATTAAAATACACAAAACAATTTGGCCGGGATTTGAAAGTGATTATGATCATCAGGAGGACCTTGATCATTTCGATCGTTATTTTCCTTATTCTTGGTAAGTACATACATACATATAAATTCTTATTTTAAGAAAAATAGTATGAGAGATAATTTAATGTGTAATAATATTTTGAAAATGAGATAATATAAGTCATAAAATCAAATCTAAAGATTCATTGTAACGTGAGTAATTGGTGTAGGTGTTTCTGAAAAATTATGCAATCGAAAGATCCTTGTGACTTATACATTTTCGAAATAATAAGACGCTTTGAAAATATTGTTAATTATGTGAAATAGAACACTGTGAATGCATTATTTAGTGATATAAATGTTATAAAAACGTATTAAATGAAAATTTAATATTAAATCAATTTATTTGAGTATTGGACTACTTTTATCTTTGTAAAGTATTCTCGAAAGTTTAGATCATATACTTTCTAAACAAGGAATTTGAAAGTTTTTACATCGAGATTTTTTATTGTTTTTCATATCCGTCAAAAAACGTTTTTTTTTTTTTTTTTTAATGATATATGATGTCTATTTACAAAGAAATTAAATAATATTTTGTTATATGAAAAGAATTTTTCAGAACAGAAACAAAACGCAATAGCAAGTGTGATAAGAAGAAATATCATGATGCAAATTGTTCTTGATAGCATTATTATTCAATTGTCAGCATTCTACTTTAATTGAAAAACACGCATGCGCCAAGAAGAACGAGTTCTTTCATTATTTTGTTAATTTAACTAAATTCTTTGAGAATTATCGATATATCAGTCAAATACATAATAGGTACTACATCCATGCACCAGTGCATGAATATGAATAATATGATTTATCTCTATCACATGAATTGCTTAAGTGTCTAGATTTAATATTATTACTATAATAGGGATAGGAAATAACAAAATGGGAGATATTATTACGATATATTACTAAATATAATTATAATAATTGCATTAACAGCTACTGGGGAAGCCCGAAAGAGTGGTGGCGGTCGTAAAAGCAGCGGGGGATGGGGTTGGGGAGGACGTTCGTCCTTAAGGACAACACCACGACCACCCCAAATTAAATCTCAAAATACTAAATATGGTATGTCATTAATATTTTAACTATTCTATATATAGGTAGTGAAATTTACATTTTTTTTTTTTTTTTTAAATAGGATGGAACGTTCCACAAACTAACAACAGACAAACCAGCAGTAATACGGCATCAAAGCCATCTGCTCCACCAGCAGATCATAACGTTGCTTCTAAGACTAGTGCAACTTCCTTGCAATCAGGATATTCTCCATCAGGTAGATTTCTTTGAGTTAATTATACTTGCAACATAAAATTGTAATCTTGTTAATGATCACAGGTGGATATCCTCGTCAACAAGTTGGTTCCCAGCAAAGTTCACCTAATTCTTATAATAATGCTGGATACAATCCATCAGCTGGTTATAATCCTGCGGTCGGTGGCTATAATTCTGGCTATAATCCCGGTTATAATCCTAGTTATCCAGGTCAAGGTCAATCTTATCATTCACCTAATATGGGACAACCTTATAATCCAATGGGTCATGGGTACAATCCATCGCACAATCAACCTTTTAATCCATCTTATGGTCAATCCAATAATCCATCGTTCGGACAAGCGCCACAACAAACTATTCTTTTGGCATCCTCGCAACCGTACAAACCAGGTATCGGGCAAATCGCGAAAGAAGCTTTTGTCTACGCTGGAGTTAGTGCTGGTGTAAATGCAGCCGTGAGCAGAATTCTGCCAGGAGGAATTTATGGGCATAGTGGTGGTGGTGGAGGTAGTAGTAGTGTTAGCAGTAGTGGAGTTATTCCTGCTACTTCTCATACTCAAATTACTTATAATAATTATTACAACAATCAATCTGCTCCAACTCCAAACGCGGGAGAGACTCAACCTGTTCCGGGTCAACCTGCTGCAAGTCCTCCTGTACCATCGGCAGAACCTCCTGCTGTTAACCCATTACAAAAAACTGAAACTAATGCAAATAATAATGCTTCTCCTGGAACTAATAGTAAATCCAATACTCAAAATACTCCGGAATCCAGTAATAATCCTAATCCACTCGGTTTTGTAACTTCTAATGAAGATATTAAAAAATTGTCGGAGGAATTATTTAGTAAAGATGTAAATAATGCGTTCAAGTATATTACCATTAAACTACAAGGTCAAAAGAAAGACGACAGTGTTACCGATGACGCGAGTGATCCGTAAGCAATCTCTTTTATAAACATATTTCCAAATGATTTCTATAAACATAAATATTATTTTCTTTTAGATTGTTGGATGTGAAGCCAGAAGCTTACGAAATATCAACGATCAAATCTGTTATCGATCTTCATGATAATTATGAGCTGGATGTTAAAGTGAAAGAAAATCTTACGCCTGAAAAACGCGAAAAGGAATCTCAGTTGCTCGATAATTTCTTAAAAACCGATGTCCTTCAAAGCGCGATGAAATTCTTAGCTAGCAAAGGATATATACCCGATGATCCATATGAATTCAAGGATACGTTAAAACGCATATGGTTCTCACAGTTTAAACGAATAGATGGAGACGCATCAAGTTCCGGCTTTGAAACGGTTTACTTAGCAGAACAATTTGATTCTGATATAATTGGTTTACATAATTGGATCTATTATGCTAAGCAAGAGGCTGAGAAAAAGATCGATTATCTTGGATATATTAAAGAACTAACATTTGGAGACGTAAGTATTAATATTGTACAATTTATATTTTATCTATCTATATATATATATATATATATATTTTATTAATTATTAATAATTTTCTTTCTAAACTATTTATGATGAAATCCATCAAATCATTTGGAAATGTTGTTCGCGATATTATTTTATCACATTTGCATATTTTTATAATATCTTTTACAGAAAGCAGCTATAGTCAAAGTACGTTCTAAATTAAATGGTTTTATTCAACCAGTGACTACTCTTTTTGTTGGCACATCACCAGAGTTAGAGATGGCACTTTATACTGTTTGTTTCTTTGCGCGTCCAAATACTGCTTGTCCTTTATCTTTTGGTGGAACTGATTTCATAATAATTGCAAACAGAGTTAATTACTTTGGTAAAGACATACTGGTCTCTGCATTTCCAGAAATATAATTTATAAGAGATCTATAATACTCTTAATTAAATATTGCACATTTATGTTATCAAAAATAATTTTTTTTTTTTTTTTTTGGAATCTCTTATTTCATAGATTATAATTCATATCCCTATGAGGTGTGAAAAAAATGGCTTCTTAGAAATTATTTTAAATAGGTATCAACATTTATAGTAAATACTTGTGTAATCAAATGAAATAATTATGAGAAAACATGCAGTATGCTTAACATAATGTAATAAAAAATACTGTAATCGGCAATATGTTTAAATTATTATTTAAAATGAAATAAAATTGCACATGAGATATAATTGATTTGAATAAACATAATAGATATCTTTATCCATTCAAGAAGCAATTGTATAAAATAAGAAGTGAGAGTACCTTTGTATTTTTATAACATCTTCTCTTTAATTCTGAAAGCTCAATTACAGGTATTATCGAAGGTCGTCCATGTGCACATCGAGTTGGAGATTTTGTAGTTTTTAAGTCATCAAAAAGTTCTATACATTGTTGTACAGATAGCAATTCACCAAATTTTATGGCACCTAAGAAGATAAAAGCAAATACTTTATATAAATTGTATTCTTTTAATCATTTTCTCTGCAGTTAATACAAAATATAATATCTACAAATAATAAATACCATGACATGCTTCCGTTGAAATGGCATTGTGAATAGATAAAGGTAAAAAATTTATACCATTTCCATTCATAATATTGTCTACAATTTCATTTAGCAAATTCCGAATTATCATTGTCAATTTTACATCATTATAATATTGTTTATTCGTTATGAAACATTTTGGTATACTGTATATGCTTAAAGTATTCCCATTAATTGCAGTTAACTTTATTCCAAATTTATCTAATGACTTTTTGTTCCATAGAAGCAAACTGCATATATTTACTGTTACTTCTATTATTATTGGAATTGACAGTTTTTTAGTTTGAAAACTTTTATGATCTGATGTTTTATAATCTATATAAGTAAATGAAATTGCAAATTACATATAAAACATATTCTAACATTTTTTATATATAATTAATATTAATTAATACACACGTACACACACATACACATAAATATATATATTTAATGTGCAATATTACCATTAAGTAAATTTTCATATCTTATTCTTTCATGAACAGCATGTTGATCCATCATTAACAATAATTCTATATTATCATACATCATTACGGCTGCTATTAATTGATTATTAACTTGATTTAATACCTACATGAAATTATGATAAGTATTATTACTTCTCTACTTCTATATAATTCATATTTCTACAATTTTATTTATTACCTTTATAAATTCTAATGCAGTTCTTTTTAATCTAAATTCATAAAAATATTGTCGAAATTTGCACGGATGTATATTTACATCTTGATGTTGTTTTTCGTTTTCTATTAAATATACATATACACATATACATATACATATACACATATAAATATAATAAAATAAGTATATGAAAATAATATACAAGAATTTTTATGCCTTACCATACCTTGATAATTATATGTTAATTCATTAAAAAGTATGCTTGTATCAATACTATTGAATGAAGGTGTTTTTATTAATTTAATAGGTCTAAATTGAACAAGATTATTTAACTTTTGTGGAAGAAAATCAAAAACTTTGTAATATTTCTCAATACTTTCATTTTTGTTTTTCAACTTGTAAAGAGTATTTTGCATTTCTATTTTATCACTTTTAACTTTGTTTGTATGATAACTCCAATCAGACCACTCTGAAAGAGAGCAATTATAATCTTCTACATGAACAGTTTTTTCTATGTTATGTTTTTGTTTTGCATCAGACAATGTTTGTTCTACATTATTAATTGAATTTGAATTTACACAATTTATATATTCTACGTTCTCTTTTGAATTAAAATTATTAGGAATATTAGAAGTAATATTTTCCTCAGAACAATATTGATTACAATTATAGTTTATATTTTGCAATTTTTGCTTTTTTTTTGTAAAAGTACCTGTCTTCAAATGTTTTATATCAATTATATAATTTTCTACCGATCTTCCTTGTTTTATACTTTCATAAAGAAACATTCCATATTTGGTATAAAAAACTGTGATGGGATTATGATTAATATTAGTATTATATAAAATAGATTTTTTAGTCTTATGAATTTTCTCTAAGCGATCTACTTTGTAGAGACATAAAGGTAAAACATTGTGTACCTTTTGAGATTCTGCAGATTTATTAATTTTTTGTATTCGTTTCGGTATGTGAAATTGAATATATTCATACAATTGCTTAATGAAACATTCATCTAGGAAAATATTATTTATAAATTGTCTGACACTATCTAAAACATCACGTGTTTTGTATAATAACATAAATCTTTTATCATTTTTTGTAGTAACAATAACTTCTGTTGTCGGACAATTAATAAAAAACATGAAAAATATTGTTTCTTTACTGACATTACACATTCTCATATGGTAACTTAGATGTTGAATGAAGTAGTCCAGTATTGTATTTATAATTGTAGTACAATAGACTGGTCTATTATTTAAGAAAATGTAATGTAAAGCTTTTTCTTTTGTTTTAATCAATCCAATGTAACCATGGTATTGAATATTTAACACATTAGTAGATGGTATAGCCCATATATAATCTTGTAATATATATTCTTCATATAGCATTTGTAAAATTTTCTTTGATTCTCTATCTTTAGTGATTTGTAAAAATATATTATCTTCATCTCTAAGAGAGAATGAAATCTATTGAAATTGAGAATTAAAAAAAAAAAAAGAAAGAAAAAGTAGGTACATATCTATTAAATAAGTAAAATAGGGAAAACATAATTTTGATAACTAATAAAATAAAGAATTTATTACCTTAGGATTATTTAAAGAAATATTTGCTATTAAAAAGCATACCATAGATATAGTTTGTTTATGAGCAAATACAGTGTTAGAATAATTATATATGGTCACTGTTGTACCAATTGATGGTCTAGGTGTTACTTTTAATATAATAGGAGATAAACCTTTCCTATAAATCTAATTAAAAAAAAAATATATATATATATATATATATAAAACATAAATTAAAAAATATTCAATGTGATTAAAGAAAATTCCTGCAATCTACCTTTGTATTAGTTTCCACAGAATTCTGACATCTCGATGAAATAGAAATAACAGAAAAATTCTTAAATATGTTTCTCAAATTATCATATCTTAAATTATAATGTAATTGTGAATCATGAATATTATTTTTTCCAGTATCTTCTAAACCTGCTAATGCATGTACAGATATTCCTATACCATTATCTACTACTTGAATTTTTTTCTCTTTATTATAAATACGTATTGCTATGCATGATGCACGTTCATTTAACGAATTTAAAACCTAAGTTTAAAAATATATAATTAATATTATATAAAATCATAGAGATTTTTGGATCTTTCCTGTTATCTGTTCGATATTATTTTGGTATTTCATTTTTCCAATAAATTTTCATTATTTTTTATTAAAAATTATTTTATGTAAATATATTATAGCGAAAAAAATATTTAAATTACATAGATATATAAATGTTCTATTAAATTTTCAATAAAAAGTATTAAAAATCTGGACCATACGTAAGTCAAATAATAAGGGATCTGAAGGCGAAGGAAACGAACAACAGAAAAGATTCAGATTTTTTTACAAGTGTTTCAAATATTTTAATTAATTATTTAAATCGTCATAAATAAATAAAAAAAAAAAAAAAAAAAAAAAAAGAAAAAGAAAATAAATAAAATGATAATCAACGTGTATACGTACCGTGTCAAAAACGTTTAGTGCAACAGGTGGAATTTCTATTATCTCCATGTTTAATTCTCGTTATCTGAACAATTAGAAATAATTAAGAATGCACTTAACACTTTTTTTTTTTTAAAAACTACGAATAATTAGATTCTAATGATTTTCTTTGGAATATCCGATATTACGTAATACGAGGCACTAATTAAAACCCAGCTACCGTATTTAATATCCATTGTTGAAAATGCAATTTTGGCGCTAATTATAAATGCTTCAAACAAATTTACCGGGTATGTGAGTGTTTTCTTTTGTTTTTCTTTAAAATATTTCGAAATTTCGATATTCATGTTAAATAAATCTCATTAGTTCGTATTATTTATTTAATTCTACTAGAAAGCAAACGAAATAAAAGAAAATTAATGTAATTAAAATGTGCCTTTTGTGTGAAAATTTAGTTAACTATAATTAATGAAAAACAGATTTGTTTGTTTTCTTTTTTTTTTTTTTATGTGGAAATAAAAGAAACTAAACAGTTATAGATTTCTTTATGTAAATTAAAAGAAATTATTTAGCCAGTTAGCATGTTCGGTGATTTCTGAATAATTGTACTTTACCCGTATCACAGCGTAAATTGTAAAGTTTATTTAAAAAAAATTCTTTTTTTATATATCCGGTCATATATATATATATATATATATATATATATATATATATATATAACAATCGAAGATGTGCATTATGCAGATTTTCGTAAATTTTACAAGTTTAAAAAATTTCCGTCGGTCAATATAGGCACTGAAAAAATTACAATCACTTAAATATACCTAATTGTCTAAATTTTATATATATATAGTATGTATAATATATATATATATACATATATATATATATATATATATATATATATATATATGTATATATATATGTATATGTAATAAGCAACCTATAATAAATAATAATTATAAAATTAATCATGTCTTAAATTTAGACACATGTTTAAAATATCGCATTTCATACAAAAATCGCCGAAACATGTCAACTAGTAAATTAATTATACTAAAATTTAGATTCACATAAAATTTCAGACCAATCAGTCCGTTCGAAACAACATCGTTATGAGCCAGTGCATAATTTTGTTCTTTTACTATATGTAAATTTGATAAAAAATTGTTATTATAGTAGAGAGGAGATCAATATAATATGATACGATTAGAAAGTTTATATTACATAAATTCTACACTCAATAAGCAAAAACTAAAGTTATTGCATTAAGAGTAAACTGATTAAAAAGATAAAAATCTTCTAAGAATTGGTTCAATGTCTATGCCAAAATAAGATGTTTCATAAACTGCATATTAATTTCTATAGTTTGTGAGTTATGCTTTATTAAAAAAAAGCACGTTTCAATTGTGTGACCTTCGTCAGTATTAAGTTTTTTATTTTACATGTGTCTTGTTATTGGTGTTCTTCCAAGAATACTAAAAAAGTGTAATGTACAATAGACACACTATGCTTAAATTATTGTCAATTGAAAACTAAGAAAATTTAGTGAACAAGTACAATAAATAGTTCATCGTTATGTACAAGTTTGTTCTTCGTGCATAAGAAATAAGAGCATACGTCTTTCTTATACAAGATATAATATAACCATTATGGTATCACTTTTAAACAGATTAAACTTTTCTTTTTTTTTCTTTTTGTTTTCATTTACCAATCACCGAATGTAAAAAGATATTTATAAACTATACGTAATTTCACAGTGATCAATTTAACGTACATTCTTTTACATATAATATAATCTGTACAACATTAATTCAACATAATTTTACCAATGCATAATAAAACATTTTATGAAATAAAATATTCAAAATTATCATACCTACATACATAATAATTTCCAAATTATCTATGAATGTTATGCGAAAATTATTGCAGGTACCATAAGGTCATATTAGTATTTTAGTTACATCAAATGTGAAAGCATATGCTATAACACAGACAAAGATTATATGTATCGTTATATATGGTTCTATATTCTTATTGAAATTAAAACAGACATATTAGGCGCGAGACACTCTCCTTTATGTCTGATTTTTTAAATGTATCAGTAACATCGTCGTAAAATAATAAAGATTTTTATGACACGTGTGTGTATGTATGTGTGTATATATATATATATATATATATATATATACATATATACATATATATATATATATATATACATATATACATATATATATATATATATATATATATATATATATATATATGTATTAAAGATAATAGTGAGAATTTTATTTCAAAAAATATATTAAAGGCATTATAAAGTTTTCTTTTACTGTATCGCTTTCATTGCATTAACAGGAAATTACATTCTATAATAGATATTCTTATAAAGTAACATATAAACGGCATAATCTTTCTATCTATAAAAAAAGAAAAAAAAAAAAAGAAGAAAGAAAAGAAAGAAAAAGAAAAAAGATTCCTTTTAATGAAATTGCGCGATAATCGTGTAACGACCTTTATTGCAAACAAAAATATGTAGATCCTTTCCTGTGTCTACTACAAGTCGAGCACTTAATTAGAAGATAAGTAAATATTAATATTGTGAAAAATTAATCTTAGTAGAGCCTGATCATCAACATATATATAAAGGAGGAGTTCATTGTAGTAAAATTATAATAATAACAATCACATATCGTGTCATCTATTAACGAGATATATAACACACATGTTATAAGATGAAAGTATATAAATAATTTAGATGCATCGAATAGACGATGTTGTAGTGTTTATAATTCATGTAACATGAAGAAAACACATATATATATATATATATATATATATATATATATATATATGTATATATGTATATATATATTTATTTATTTATATATATGCTTATATATAAATGTGTGTGTGTGGGCGGGTATACATAGAGTTATATGTATTTATGTATGTACACAGAGCATTCAAGATGCCCTGAAGAAATGATAGAGACGTCCGTATTTCATCAGACGTCATTAGACACATTCGAGGACTCCCATGCACACTATTTTCCTACACTGTTACACCGTATATTATATCAGAAAGTTCTTGACACTCTATGTGTGCGTGTGTATGTACGTATGTATATATGTATGCGTGTTGTAAGACTGCATGCATTTATGCATATATACGAGAAGAGACACACATGCGCCTGAGTGCGCACACACATGCACGCATTACATATATATACATATATATATAACATGTATAAAATATTGAGTTATACTCCTATAAATATATCATCTAAATTATGACGCTTCGGCAAATGATATAATCACTTAGAGAAGAATTTTCACAATTTAGTCATTAACTTTAGGCACCAATGGTATGCAGACCCTGTCTTTGGTACGTGCGACCGAATCGATATTATTATTTCATTTAAAATAAAGGATACACACAGAACAATGGTCTTCCACAATTTTCAACGATTATTCGTTTGCTTTTTATTTCTTTTATTATTTATATTTTTCCATTTCCTTTCTCTTTTGTTCCTTTTTCTCTTTTTTTTTTTCTTTTCTTTTCTTTTCTTTTCTTTTTTTTTTTCTTTCTTTTTTTTTTTCTTTTCTTCGGTAAGACACACACACTTGGTCGATTCTAAATCACGTGATCTAGCAAAAAGTTTCTGACACAGAATCTCTGCCCTGGTGTATCCCACTCACCTAGGAAGAAGCTCACAATTTAGTCATTAAAACTTTAGGCACCAATGGTATGCAGACCCTGTCTTTGGTACATGCGACCGAATCGATATCATCATTTCGTTTCAAATAAAGGATACACAGAACAATGATCTTCTGCAATTTAAACAATTATTATTTTATTCGTACTCTCGTGCGTTTGTTTGGTTCTTTATCTCTTCTTTATTATTTATATCTTTCTTTTATGTTATTTCTCTCTTTCTCTTTCTTTCTTTTTTTTTTTTTTTCTTTTTTAATTCCCCTTGTTAAACTCTCTTTGCACGATGCCGTAGAAATTAGTTATATTCGTTTATAATCAGTAACATTGTCCTAAAACAACACATTCATTATAGAAAGCTCAGTCTTCTTCCTTCTTTTCCGGTTTCAAGTCCACCATTGCATGGAGTTGTTCGGCACTATATCTGTAATCAAATATTTACTTTTTTCAATACAATATATTATGTCAATATATTTATGTCAATGATGATAATATAAAGAAATGTTAAAATGATAGATAATACGCATACCCCAATAGATTTTGTAAGTCACAAACGAAACGATAGACGTAACGCTTCCCAGCGGTCTTGTGTATAATATTTTTATCGTAATAGTATCGGAGACCGCGGCTTAATTTTTCGTAATTCATTTTAGGCTTATTTTTGCGAACACCCCAGCGTCGTGCAACTTCATCGGGATCCGTAAGTTTGAATTCCCAACCATCTCCCGTCCACGAGATGAAACTCTGACATGATTTATTGGTCAATAGTTCCAATAAAAATTGCCAGAGTTGTATTGGTCCTGAACCTGTGAAATATGGACCACCACCTGCACAATTATCACCTATATTTCTATTCAGTTGTTCTATATCGTTTAATTTATATTAATTGTCTTAGATATAATATTTTATTGTGTAGTAGATGCTTACCGGTATAACTAGCTGCGATCATTGCACTCTGTAGGAGAGGCTTTTGATCGGCGTTACTACCAATGGAAGGTGGATGATGAGCACCAGATGAATCTCTCGAGCCAAGACTCGCGATAAACGCTGGATGATGAGAAAGATGTTCACCGATAGGTGCAACACCCCACTGTTCACTTCCAACACCAGCAGCTCCAGTAGCTGTATTTCCACTTCCAGGAACCGTCTGAAATGGTGTCGCATCGTATTGACTGTATCCCCCACTTTCACTGTATCCTTCGTGATATCTCGCTGGAAAATATAACGTAAGTTGATCACGAGATCTAAGAGAACATGATTATCAATTTATAGATATAAATTCGATTAGATAACTTTGATTAGAATTAATAAGATATTTGATCGTCCCGCCATACTTTTGAATTTGAATAAACATGTCACGTGACACGTTCGTACTTTATATTTGATTTTTAGATCCTTTTAAGATTACTTTATTTAGATATTATATTAACGTAGGTATATATATATATATATATATATATATATATATATATAATATATAAAGTGAACTAAATATTTTTTATATATCCGAATTATAATTCTGGAATTCTAATAAAGTTCATTGGTACTTTTAACTATGTTTGATATTCGAAAGTGATACGGCCGTACCTCGAGGATAATTTTTGAACGGCGATGGCTGATACTTCGGTTCGAGGTGAATACCACTGGTACTGTAAAATTCTGGCGAACTATCCAGATTATAGGTATGAGGAGTTTGATGATCCTGCGATAGACCGTGATAATCAGAGGCCTCATCATATCCAGAATAATGCGCGGGTGTAATATAATCTTCCGTCGTCCCAGTATTGCTAACCCTAAGTTCGCTCTCATTGGTCCCCGTTGCACCGAGATCACCACCACTGGCCAATCCGCCGGCTCCTCCTTGTAAGTGTTCCGCCGCTATATGGCTGCTGTAGTTAGCTAGAGAGAAAAACAAAACAAAAAAGAACATCGCGTGAAATAAAAATCAAATCGAATGTTTATTATATTACTTTTTCCATTGATACTTTTTTCATACTTTATGTATATTTATATTACTTTTTCCATTGAATAATTAGAAAAAAAACTTGACTTTAACTTTATTACATGTAAAATTTCATTTCCAATGTGAAAATCAAAAGAATTTTTTATATTACAGATGGCGCCACTTAACAAGTCGCACACTAATACTCACATTCCGTTTTGAGTTCATTTAAATTTCGTAGGTGTATATAAGCATTATTTGCGTTATTGTTATTGTTATTGTTGTTATTCCCCGTGGGTGTACTGGAATGAGAATTAGGAGGTTGTGTACTATGGCTGTGAGGTGGTGGCGAAGTCTCTTCCCTTTGACTTTCATCCTGACAAACGGGACTGCGTAGATGCGCATAACCTCCTATAAAAGTAAATTATAAGATAAGTATAAATTTTATTTTCAATTATACACGTATAAAATTGTATGAATTGCGATATTATAATTTTTAAATCGAAGATTAAATAGACTCTCGCCCTTCAATAATATTCAGGAGAAAGATAAGACAATGATATTTTCTGAATTGATATTTTTTGAATTGATATTTTTGAAAAAGCTATTGGCGTATATCGTCATTAGAAAATAGTGTTAATGAATTGTAAAAGGGGATAAAGTAGGTGGCCTTTAAGTACTTTTAGTGTATTCTCCGTACAAAACAAAGTGTAATTTCAAGTAAGGTTAATAAGAGAGAGAAAGAGGGAGAGAGAGAGAGAGCGGAAGAAAGAGGAAGGGAGAGAGAGAGAGAGAGAGAGAGAGAGAGAGAGAAGAGAGAGAGAGAAAGAGAGAGAGAAAGAAAGAAAAAGAAAGAGAAAAACTTTCCGGAGTCTGCAGGGAGGAACCACCGCGACACGTGGGCGGTACGCATCTCGCTGATTGGCTCAAGCGAACTCCGCCTATTCTCTCAACGACCTTTCCTTCGCTTCGAGAAATCCGTTCTCGCCGAATGCGGAGGCTGCATTAGCTTCGCCCACGACAATGTCGTCGTCGTTATCATTACACTCTCTTTCTCTCTCTCTCTCTCTCTCTCTCTCTCTCTCTCTCTCTCTCTCTCTCTCTACACTACTACTATGATCTTTATAAAATTTTTACGTCTCTATTTTTTTACTTCTCTCTGATTCCCCATTTGATTTTTTTCTTTCTTTTTATTCACAATGATAACGCATCGAACACGATGCATTTCCGAGTACTTGGAAACGCCCTCTTATTATATATATATATATTTTTTATTTATTATATCGTTTTTATGAATTTTCATTATGCAATTAAGGTTACGTACTTTCCAAATGGTTTCATATTTATTTGAAAAAATTAACAATGGCGATAAAAGGCGAGATATAACAAAGATATCACGAAAGAGCAGGTGGACAAAGAAACGAAACATTCCTGTTTAAGAAAAGAGAAGGCAGATGTGCTCTTCGAAAAGGTCGACATGTAATATCGTTTTATTATCTTCACATTGATAGTTTCCTTTTTTTCTTCCTTTTTTCTTTTTTTCTTTTCTTTTCTTTATATATATATTTACGCGCTTGAAATACTATTAATCTTTTAATCGGGGATGACGAATTTAATTTCCCGCAAAGATTTCAATTTTTTTTTTTTTTTCTTTTTTTGAGATAAAAGAATAAGTCGTTTGTTTTCCACTTCGATTAAAATAGTAAAAAGAAAAAGAAGAAGACGTCATTATATATCACGAATATATTCTTCATCAATTACGATTCATTAATTTATCCAAAGTTTTCCAAACCTAAATCTAAAGCTTTATTTTTACAATCAAAATAAATTACGATGGAAAATCTCGTTTATTAGCACGTTAATATTAATTATTCGAAATAAATTAGACAAAGTGTACAAAGGTGTCAAAACGAAAAGAGTTCGTATAGTTTTTATTTATTTACGAAAATATGTAATTTAAAGTCATATGAATTTAATTTATTTTCATTCATAAAATAGTACTCCCGATTTTTAATATAATACGTATATATTATTTGCCGTCGTCAGACGAAAACATTTCTGAAATACGTTCTCGCATTAATTCTCTTACTTTTTCTCGTACTTTTTATACAAAATTTCACATGAATTTCTTGCTCCTTCGATCGTGAAATATAGAAAAATCACTCGTCCCATTAAATCAGAGAGATTTCAATGAGATCATGTATAAATCTTACGAAAAAAAAAAAATAAGTAAATAAATAAAAAAGAAATAAAAAGAAACAAAAAAGTAGAGAAAAAGAAAAGGAAAAAAGAAAATTTTCGTTAATCGAATAAATTAACGTCGTTAGGAATTAAAAAAATTGCATGAACTTTTTTCATCACACCTCGTAATATGTTTCATAGTGTCTCGTATGGAACTGCGCAACTACCGTTTATTATATCATCGTAGTACGCGTGGTAGGGACAGTCAGTCAGTCGTTCGGAGTCATAAATACGTACTACAGGATTGTCGTATATGCTTATTGCCCTAGTCTCTTTTTACAATGACATTATATGTCATATCTTTCTTTTTTTCTTTTAGATTAATGAGATGATCAACAGAAAGAAAGAAAGAAAGGAAAAAGGACAATAATACATTTCGATTGTTTGAAAACAGTCCAATAGTTATTTCTAATGAAACGATATTTCAACTTATCGATGCTCGTATTTCTACATACGTATATGTATTTACCTATCTAAATGTATGTTCGTATGTATGCATATATATGGATATAGGTATATACGTACGCTTAGAGACATGTTCGTATTGGAGATCGAAAAACAATGGCAAAGGTGAAAAGCAACGAAGAGAGGAAGAGAGAGAGAGAGAGAGAGGACGGTTTTCGCTCTCATAAAATACACCGGGTTCCGTTTTTATACGGGCGATCTACCTACACCTGCAGGGTCCACCACGAGCGTAACTGCAGCTCGCACCCCATGTCGCTTCACACAGGGAGCGTGGGAGTGCAGGTCGACGTCGGCCCTCACGGCGGCCCTCACAGTCGGTCCTCACGACGTCCCTCACTCACACGCACCCTTTTCTCGCGTTCGCTCGCCTTTTCTCCCTTCGATTCACGTTTTCGGCTTCGCGCCTCGGCCGCCTTTCTTTGGCGGTTACGTCTACTATACATTGAAAGAAGGAATTTCTTTTCTAAGTTTTTAGTTGGGATCTATACAAGAAACAGAGAGAGAGAGAGAGAGAGAGAGAGAGAGAGAGAGAGAAATATTCATGTAAGAACTTTTCTTTTATACTATGAACAAGATAGATCAATGTCTCGTCTGAATAAATATCATTGTAAAATCGATATAATTATAAATACGATAAAGTATGTTAATTTGATAAGAGATAAGTCAATATCGGATATAAACACTTTGCTAATTGATCAAAGATATCAAATTTTACATGATATTAATTTGAATTAATTCGATTCCCAGCTGACATAAATGAGACAGGGGAAAAGAAATCGATCGGGCACGTGCACTCGATCATGCTTTCATGGAGAGTATCAACGGAGAAAGAAAGAGAAAGAGAGAGAGAGAGAGAGAGAGAGAGAGAGAGAGAGAGAGAGAGAAAAGAGTAGAGTAAGAGTAAGTAAGAGCGACAGTAACAGGCACAGCAGTCGTTTAGCAGCCGCATAGCAGGCACGCATCAGCTGTGGAACAGGTGCCGGCCGGCAACATAGTCCCGAAAGAGAGTTTGCCCGATGCCGGCGACTTCTTAACGAAAATGAGCGTAGGAAACGACGAGAAGGACGGAACGAGGAGGGCTAACATGGCACGCGCCAAATCGAATGAAACACGGCTCTTGGCTTCGGAATGGTGCACAGCTGCTGGTGTTGCTTCTGTAACTGCTGCTGCTGCTGCTGTTACTGTTGCTATTGCTATTGTTGTTACTGTTATTGCTGTTATAATCGCTAAGATTGCTAAGACTGATTTGACTAGTTTAAATATCATTTCTTTGATAGATAACTCTAACAGCATAATCATTTATCATTCCTTAATATATTTGATCAAACAGAATTCTATTTTTATTTTTAATCTCAAACATGAATAATTTGTATTAGGATTGTTTACAGATTTACAAATATAAGATATAGATATAGTATATAGAAATGATTGTTAATCCTTGATAAAATTCTCTAAATATAGATTGCATAAACCATAGAGCGTTTTATTAATGATAGAATATATTTATAAACGTGATTATATTATGATGTATAAGTAAAATATTTTAACGATAAATCGTTGAGAAAATTTTTTCTTGATCATTTCATTTTTAAAAGAAGTTTTCAATAAGATGAAACGCACAATATCGCGTTTTAATTTAAACGATGGTATAATACAATTGATTCGTTTAGTTATAAAATGCAAATAAAAATAAATTTCAACATTATTCCTATTTACTGTGTGCGTGTGTATGTGTATATATATATACATATCTGTGTGAATATATTCACATATATTCACATATATACATATATATACATATATTAATATACATACTCATTAACTTCGAAAAATAGATTCTAATAATGAAAAGAGAGAAAGAAAAAGAGAAAGAGAAAGAGAGACTCGTTAGGTCAGACATCCATTGAACTCGAAACTCATTGGAGCCTTAAAAATATATATATATATTTATATATATATATATATATATATATATATATATATATATATATATATATATAGGTACTACGTAAAAGTATACGTGCGTGTACTAGTGCGTGTAATGTGTGCGTGTTGAAGCCAGGCGATTGTGCGATGCGCTCATAAAAAACGTCGTCCTCGACGGCAACGAAATCGCGCATTGTTCGGTAGACCGCTGACCTGCGAACTCTCCCACAATCTACCTTTATCGTGTTCTCTATGTATATCCGTGTTACATATGCCTTTCTTTTTAATTTGTGTGCGTACGCGCCACTGCGCTAAATTAAAAATGTATTCGCCCGAGTCGCATTAGTTAGTAGGGAGAACGCATTTAACAAGACGAAGAAAAATCTATGAATTTATATATACGTGTGTGTGTGTGTGTGTGTATGTGTGTTCAATGTTCTTTTCTAGATTTCTCTTTTTTTTTTGTTTTGTATTTTTTTTTTTCATTCTGCTTCTTTTATAACTTTCAACTTTAACATTTTAATATCTTCATATCGTCGATAGATTGAACGAAACGTTTAATTTGAAGTTAAGTCAGAATTATGGCGTATATTATTTAGCCTTAGTTTTGAAATTTTTATTTCATAATTTGATTCTATAGTTTTCATTCTTTTCTTTCAGGTAATGTATAATACACATATATATATATATGTATATTTAAAACAAATAATTTGTTTTTAATATTTTTCATTTCCATTTCTCTCTCTCTCTCTCTCTCTCTCTCTCTCTCTCTGTTTTTTACTTTTTTTTTCTTACTCTTCCTCGTTTCTTCTCGTTACAGATGGATAAGCTACATAGAACAGACTATGGCCTGAAATCTCCTGCTCTACGAAGCGTGTAATTCTGACCTTGCTTGGTAGATTTTATTGCCAAGTCAACGAGAGCCGCACCTTATGCGGCAATCTATGTGTATTGCGTATAAACACATCTAGACATTAAAAATATGTTATATTGTTTTGTTACGAGCCATTGTGGGTGTACATCGAAATTGATCGAAAATGAACTCTCGTATTTGAATTCAGTATACGTTACTAAGAACTTCAACAACAATTGGAATGGATTATCCATCTTTTACGAATTACGGATTGTAGTTCGAAATAAAGAATAATACTTGTTTAAAAAATATGATCGAGAGATAAAAGGTATTTTCGATTTTACGTAAATAAACTCAATGCTAAAACTAAGAATCTCATCGAATGTGGATTTGTGGAAATTAAACGTAATCATTGTTTCGTGTCCTCGATCGTCACGAGATTAATTTGACTTCACGTAACTGTTAATAAATTCTGTCAAAAGTACCATTTCATTCAATAAATTGATATTCATTCATAAAAATGTTATAAGCGAATCTATCGGATATCTACTTTTAATAAATAGAAATAATAAATATATAGAATCTTCATATTTCACGATCTCTTATCTATAATTACAATGGAGTTCGTAATTCATTCTAAGAAAGTCATAAGACTATTAACATGCGTTCTATTACATAGAAATATATTTTTTAGGATACATACACATATATACATATATATATATATATATATATATATGTATGTGTGAAACAAGGATGAAAACTTCATCAAAGAGTTTGCATTTAACTAGAAGATAGATCATACATCCTGATGAAATTCTTTAGAATTCATCAATCGATGGAAGACATTAATTTCTCTCTAACCTGGTGTATGCGTAGTAGTATTCAATGAGATCGTGTTCCGATGTAATCCATCCTGTTGTTGTTGTTGCTGCTGTTGCTGGTGTTGTTGCTGATGATGATGAGGATGATGAGTATGTTGATGTTGAGTATGAGTAAGTGGATCAGCTTCCTGATAGGAAGGATAATCGGCATAAAAGGGTTCGTGTCCCGTCATCAGGGTATCTAACATATGAAGAACCATCTCCGAGGATGTTGCCGAGGCTACCGCACTCGGCGTCTGTTGGCTCGTCTCTAGGATATTCCCGTTCGTCGTCGTATAATTGCCGACGACGATGGCCGGCGACGGCAACGGCAGCAGTGGCGGTGGCGGTGGCGGTAGCGGCTGCGGCTGCGGCTGCGGCGGTGGCGGCGGCGGCGGCGGTAGCGATGGTGGTGGTGGCGGCGGCGGCGGCGCCTGGCCTGAAGTTCGCGAACCCGTCGCGATCCTCTCGATGCTCGCCGTGACGGCCGTCCTGCCGGCGGCGGCAACCTGCCGGGCAGCCCACGACACGGCTCTCTGACAACTCCAAGCTGAACCACGACACCTCTTCGACGAGCATTCGCGCTTTTCGCGCGATTTCTTTTCACAAATGGACAATACCTTTTAAACTCTTTATTTTATATATATGTGTATATATATATATATATATATATATATATATTACGAGTTATTTTAATTTAACTCTTTCCACTTTAAAATGTTATTATTAATCAATGGTTTAAATAGCATGCTAAACCATCAGAGGATTAATCCTTGAGATTCTTTATCGTTTCTTTTTTTGTTTCCTTTCTTGAAGTCCTTTCTAAGTATACTCTTTCACATCATCCTTATGAGTGTTCATCCAAAATGTTCGACGGAATGATGAATCCTGTTCTTGCATTTGGTTTCGTTCAATCTCTATATTACTTTTCACGTTCTTCCTTTGCTTCTTCTCCTTTTTTTTCCTCCTTTTTTCAAAGGATCAACACACCAAGGATCGAGATTATCCTTTCCTACGTTTTCAACAAACTTTCATTTGCCGTTTTTCTCCTACTGTCTTCTTTTCTAATTTCTGAGAGAAGAAGAAAGTAGCAAAAGTAATCATTCGATGGCTCGACCGGTGCAACACGCCGGTGCAGCGCACCCGGTGCACCAGCTGCGCGCGCCACGACGCTAGATCGCGCAACAGGTGTGCCTCCTCCGAAGAGGATTTTACGATAGAATCGTACGAATCGAAATCGATATCGAAATCGAAAAAGGAAACAATATTAAATAGACTTTCACTGTTATTCCTAATAGTTTTACACTGATATTTATTTTTCTCAATCGACACCAATCCCGCAAGATGCACTGATTGATCGTACACTTTCTTCTATTTTTCTTCGATCACGTACATTGTTAACGATTTCAATCGTTCATTTCTCAATGGCAATGAAAACTCGGTTAAAAAAAAAAAAAAAAAAAAAAAAAAAAAGAAAAAGAAAGAAAAAAGGGGGTAAGAAACACGAAGGCAAGAGAACGCGAGAAATAGTGAAATAGAAAAAACGAAAGAGAAAGATAGAGACAGAGAAAGAGAGATGGAGATAAACACAGAGAGAAAGAGAAAAAGAGAGAGAGAGAGAGAGAGAAAGAGAAAGAGAAAGAGAGAGAAAAAAAAAGAAGAGGCACTCTTCCTTAGAGGGTTCCTCTCGCGTGCGTCCTCCACTTGACGTGAGCGCGCGTGTCACTGCGACGAAGCGGCCTACCGTTTCCGCTCTCTCGCTCTCCGCCTGCTTGCTCCTTCCTCTTTCCCTTCCCTTCCCTTTCAGAGGGCCTCCCCTCTCTAACCAACGTTTCTACCCCCACCATCAACGCACGTTCTGCTATCAGCTGCGCGCCGCGTTTTCTTCCGAGTGAGTCTCTCGGAAAGAGCTGTTGTAGAAAGAGGGGAATAGTTGCGTATGGTGGGAGAAAAAACAGTGAAAGAAAGAAAGAGAGAGAGAGAGAGATCCCTCGCTACCTCTCTCCCACCCTCTTGAAAGGTGGAGGTAATTCGTTTCGTCGTAGTCGTTGGAAAAGCTAGGAGGGCTTCGGAGGACAAATTTTCAACCACCTGCTCGCTCTATCCGTGTAAATTTATTCCCCAAAATATGTCCTCTTAAATCTATGTCAAATATGTATTTAAAAAAGAAAAGAAAAAAAAAAAAAGGAGAAGAAAAAAAATTCTAAAAGAAAGACTTCGTTCGATAGAAATGAAATCATCATATATACATAAATCATTTTTTCATTCATATCATTTTTTCGTTCACATAGGTCTTTAACAATTTTATAAGAGTATCACGTAATAGTAATCGAGTTGAGATTTTCGTCGTTTGAAATGAATTGACATAAAAGAAGAAAGAAAGAATAAAAAAAAAAAATTTACAGATATTTGTAAAGGGATGATCGCTAGGGACAAATTTCATCCAAAGTTCCAAATTGTATTGGTAAGTTAGGTACGTGTGTGTAATGTAAAAAGAAAAGAAAAAAGAAAAATCAACAGAAAAGACAAAAAAGGAAAAGAAAAAAAAGAAAGAGAAGAAGAAGAAGGAGAAGGTCACGTTTTTGGGTAGAACTAATATAGAGCTTAGGCACGTCTTTTCCCGTCCATCGACGAACGACCGCTATGAGAAGGGGCCCTTCTAGCCTATTTTTGAGAGGGAGTCGTAGCTGTTGGAAGAGGTGGAAGAGAGAAAAAGAGAGAGAGAGAGAGAGAGACGTAGGCCGGATGTAAGGAGGGACGAGGGAACGGGGGTTTCTCTGTTCGGCGGCTCGCACGTGATGTAGAGGGGACCGGAAGTGCTCGCTCCCTTACGCCTCAGCCTCGTGCCTTGCTTTCATAGAGAGAGAGAGAAAGAGAGAGAAAGAGAGAAAGAGAGTCTGTCGGTGGCGATAGCGACGATGAGACTTGCGAGAAGTACCCTCTCTGTACAATCTCTTTCTCTCTCTCTCTCTCTCTCTCTCTCTATATATATATATATATATATATATATATATATATATATATCTATGTAAAATAAGGAGGAACCTTCGTTGTGAATATCTTACATAGCTTGATACATTGATTCCAAATTTACCGAGAGAAGGTAAACCCTATTTTGGGAAGCCCTTTTTCCTTTACACACTTTACGATCGTCTTACGTTAGTTTCACTCGATCAGAGTTTAGTTGGCCTCGGAAATGAACCTTGACAACAAGTATCAATTTTTCTTTGCCCTATAAATGCCCTCTTTGTGTTCTTCTTGTAGCACTTGCGATACTACTTCAATCGTAATTGTCTTATTAAAAATTTCAATCAGATAATTAAATAATTCTCTCTCTCTCTCTATTTTTTTCTTTTATTTATCATTATCTTATTATTATCTATATAATGAATACTATAATGTATGAACGAAAATAAAAATTCGCATGAATCATAAATGATAAAAAGCTCATTATATATATATATATATATATATGTGTGTGTGTGTGTGTGTGTGTATGTGTGGTGTATATATATATGTGTATAGATATAAAAAAGAGAATATATTTTCAGCACGAGCTCGACATAAAACCGACGTAGATTCGGTAACCACTTTTCTTTCGAGGCTAGTTTCAATACGTTCTAGGCATCTCGACGATTCTCTGGTTCCCCTTTTGAAATGAGCAACAATGCCTTCGCTATATGCCACAAGAAGGAGAGGGGAATGCATTTTGGGATGCATTAAGGGAGGAGCACTCGAGGACATTATAAAACTATCTCACTCTCTACGAGAATATATTGGGGTAGGACTGCTCCTCCCTTTGCCTCCCTTCTACTACTACGACTTCCGGTCGTAATGTGAGCTTTCATTTTACCCTCCCTTTTTCGTGGCCCTTCAGCCCGCCTTGCCCTTTGCTCGCGAACCAATCCCGTTGTACCTCTTCTTTTACATACATACATACATACATATATATATATAAATTGTACGTACATATGTACATCAATGATATAGATACGTGGATAGAAGAGGGAAAGAGAGAGACTAAAATGAACGAAGACGTCGAGAATGAGTAAAAGAGAAAGAGAATATATCGAAGAGAAGAGGAACACGCACAGGAAAAAGAAAAGGGACGAAAAGAATAAATACATATATAGAAAGAGAGAGAGAGAGAGAGAGAGAGAGAGAGAGAGAGAGAGAGAGAGATGTGAGTGTGCGTGTCGTGAGTTCTGAATGAGCTCGAGCCTTTGTAGTACGAAGTATGAATGAACGAACGAATGAATACAACCTGCGCCAACCACCCCGTCGTCCCTTTCCTATCCCTACGCCTTTTGCCTCCCGTCTTACGTTTGGTAAAAAAAAAAAAAAAAAAAAAGAAAGAAAAAAGAAAAAAAAGAAGAAAAAAAAAGAAAGAAAACCTTTTTCTATCTTCGATCCTCCTCCTTTTCTCTCTGCGAGGAAACGATAGGGAGGATCGATCCTTATTTCTTTACTCGTGATGAAAACCAATGTTAATAATATTTTTATTTTAAACAATATTTATATAAATATTAATCTTATATATAATATCGATTGGACAATTTATATCATCGAATTAGTATATATAACAGTGTACATTCTTGTAAATTAATCTTCAAAAAAAGGAAATATCATTAAAATTATTCGTCTTTAATATTTACTGTTAATAAAAACAGGTTTTTTCTTTTCTTCTTTTTTTTTTTGTTTTTTTTTTTTAGATATAGAAAAGAAAAGAAAGTAAGATGTTTTTCATGTTCTTCGAGGAGAACACAAAGTCGTTCCTAAGACGACGACGACAACAACATCAACAACAACAACAACAAAGATGATAACAACGACGACGATGACGAAGATGACGACGACGCAAACGACGCAGACGACGACGATGACGATGACGACGACGACGACGACGACGACGACGAGAAACGTTCGTTGCTTCGTGTCACGTACATGCGTCGCGTCGCACGTGCACGGACCCACAAACGATGGCGCGCACACACATAGAAAAAAAACTCACGCGTGCGCGCCCGTGTATATCGTGTGTATAAATTAAAAGTTGCTGGCATTCGGAGACGCGACACGACAAAGGCGATTCCTTCTTTCTATGTCGTGTACGTGCAAAATTGATTTCTCGAGGGCCAGTGGTTTTCAAACTTTTGCGACAAATCCTCCCCAACCCCTCCCTATTACGATCTACCACCCTTCCTACCATCCCTTCCACGATAACAACATTCAATTTTTTGTTCATACGAATATCTGTAATTTGTCTCCTTTTACATTAGAATTTATTTCGTTATAGCTGACTTTAAATTCGTTTATATTTATCATTTTCTGTATTATTTTATGTTTTCTCTTTAATTTGAAATAATACGTCTAATCGTTTGAAATGTTTAATTCAGAATCATTATTAATATGAAAAATTAGACGTTATTTATGAACTCTCGATGAGAATCTTACCCCCTTTTTTTCTTTGCTTTTTGTATTCTTCCGTTTTTTCTTCTTTTTTTTTTTCTTTCATTTTTCTTTTTCTTTTTCTCTCGTTAAAAAAGAAACGTCGATTTAATTTTTTAATCGATAATATCGCTTTGAAAACCATTGCCTTAGGCTCTAAAAGAACGACGTCGGTCCGTTAACCAAAAAAGGATCGGCGTATCATTGTGACGCCATTGGTACCTTTATGGGAAAGCTTAGTCAATCGTACCGACGAGTACAATGATTATTTGTTAAGCAACCACCGCGTTTTAACTAACCACGATGGGCCACGCAGCATTCTGATCATTCCCTCTTCTCTCTTTTTCTCTCTCTCTCTCTCTCTTTCTCCCTCCCCCAATCCTCTTCATCTCTCTTTCTCTCTCTCTCTCTCTCTCCCTCTCTCTCTGTCTTACCATCAGTGGCAACAAGTCTGTGTTCTTTTCCAACATGATTATCTTTTCGAATGGCCGTGAAATCGTGCAATGATACATTATTAAATATTCAATTATTAATTAGATACCGAAATAATAATGCGATCCCGATTAGGATTCTAATCGCGCAGACATTTAACTTGAATTAGTATCAATTATTTAACAAAAAACATTTCTCTTCGTCGTTCTTTTTCTTTTTCCCCCTCTTCTTTATTCATCGTTCTATGACAATGTTCGATTGATCTTCATCATGATTCCAAATCGTGGACATCGTTTATTTATTTAACTTGAATTTGTCATATCAATTATTCAGTAATAATAATAATAATAATAATAATAATAATAATAATAATAATAATAATAATAATAATAATAATAATAATAATAATAATAATAATAATAATAATAATAATAATAATAATAATAATAATAATAATAATAAAAAGAAAAGAAAAAAGTATAGGAAAGAAGAAGAAAGAAGAGAAAAAGAAGGAAACGAGATTTTTTTGTATTCCCTTTTTTTTCTCTCCTTCTCTTCATTCATTCTTTCATCATGTAAATGATATATATATATATATATATACATATTACATTCATTTAATATTTATCTATAAAGCGAGTACAATAAAGTTTTGAATGGTTAATTATAAAAGAGAAAAATAAAAACCACACAAAAAAAAGCAAAAAACAAAAAAGAAAAAAATATCATAATCTTTATGAGAGAATAAGAAATCTCGAGTTGAGCCGAAACAAAGTAGGTTTGGAGTAACTCGCGAATCGTCTTCTTCATCGTCCGCGGTGAAGCGTGCAAATAGTGAACGAACAGAGACGAAGGAGAAGGTGGGAGAAGGGGAGGATATACGAGAGGGAGAAGAGGGACGAGGAGGAGTATGGAGGAGGGCTACTCGCACGCTCCGACTTTCCCTCGTTCAGCCACGGTCACTGTTGCAATGACGTAAGGCCCCCCCTAGAGTAGAGAGACTAGATAATTGTTAGCCTGCTAGCTAGCGCAGAAGAGACTCGCTTTATAATCTTCTCCATCATTCCGTGCCATTCCATTCTATTTCGTTCGACTTTCGTCTCTTTTATTCATTGCTACTGTATTTCCTTCTTCTTCTCTCTCTCTCTCTCTCTTTTCTTTTTTTATATTTTCTTTCTTCTTCTCCTATCTTTTCTTTTATCCCCTTCTTCCCCTTCTTCTTTTCATTGATAAAACAACCTTTTACACTTTAACTCCCATCTATTCGCTAACACGTGTCTATACGCATATATATATATATATATGCGTATATGTGTGTGTGCGTGCGTGCGTGTGTATGTATATATTATAGGTGCATACGTAGTTAAAAAAAAAAAAAAAGAATTTTATCCCTTCAAAGAATGAACGAAACAATCTTTGAAAATCTAGAAACATTAAATCATCATCTCGATCGATTTGTGAAAACAAAAAGAAGGAAAATATGAGATATTTCGCAGGACATGATGGCGTATATGCAATACTATCTGCGAAAGAAGAAGATGAAGAAGAAGAAGAGGAGAACGAGGAGGAGGAGGAGGAAGAAGAATAAGAAAAAGAAAAAGAAAAAGAAGTTAGAAGGCGTGAGTGACGGCAGACGATGCTAATGAGAGATCCTATCACTTAGTCTGACGTAACATGGCAGCAACTTCGTTCTTAAATTCGAGAGAGTTAATTCTATCAGAATAAAAGGAAAATGTTTCATTCATCATCATCATCATCATCATCATCATAATCCTCTGCGTTCGACGAATCGATCGTTATTATATTAATTGAAAAAAAAAGAAAAGAAAAAAAAGAAAAGGAAAAAAGAAAGGAAAAAAAAATAAAGAAAGACAAAAGAAAAATGATAATGATTCTGATTAGAATGTTTTGGAGGAAACGTTTTAACGTGAGTATCATATAAATTCGACAAAATCGTTCTATCGACTTACCGTCGTTATGATATTGTCTCGAAGCCAAAGAAACGGCGCCGGACGATGGCTGTTGCGTCGTAGGGGCTGTTGCCTGAGTGGTAGGACCGTGCGTTTGGCCGGACGAGTTAGTGTTGTTAGAATTAGCCGGTGTTGTAGCTGGACTCTTGTGTTCCTGATGACCGGATGAATCCTGATATCCCAAAAAATCACCTAAATCTGGGACGCATACGCTCTCGTACAAGTTATTCGCCGTAGTATTCTCCAATGAGGCCTTTTCAGCATCGACATCTAAATTTTTAAATGTAAAGTAACGTCAAAATCGAATGAATCCTTGAAGTGAAAATTTCTAATGAAATTTCTCTTCGATTCATTTCGTCATTCATTCATTTTTGTTTTCTTACTAATCACCTTATAAAAGATCCCTCAATGATAATAGGTATATTAAATATACCTTTTTATCATCTATGAACGATCATCGTGGATCTAATCGATCCGAATAAAATGATATAATTAATATAAATAATTTAATTTTGTCTTTTTTTAATTTATTTTATTAAAGGAGAAACAAAAAAGAGGAACGACCCGCGACAACGAGGATGATTCGTAACGTCGAATGAAACGACGATAATCAGACCGAGAAACGAGCTTTTATCTAAGCCTGATAGCGTTATAAATGCGACGCAATTATGACCACAAAATGGAGCATGTTAGCGATAGAAGGAGATTAATTGTCCTGTTGCTTTTAAAACTTTCCACGATCATTGTTATTATTAAAAAGGAAGAATTTTTCTTAACGTCAAATGACGAAAGTAAGAAAGGAAAATACAAAACGAAGATGGATTTTATGCCATAGGGATATAGATATATAAATATATATACATATATATAATAATATACATATGTATCTATATTTTCTTAAAGCGTAGAATCTTAGCTGGGTAATTTCGCAATGGCCCGGTACAACAATAGGACAAATTGAAGGAAAGCGAGGCAACAAACAACAACGCGATGATCGCAGATCGCTCCGGTCAGCGCGGAGCAAGTAAATAAGATTTCACCGTGACTTGATCGTGCTTGCCACAAATAGGAGGAGAAGGAGGAGGAGGAGGAGGACGAGGATGCAGCTTTTCAGTTTCTACTTTTTTTTCTTTCTCTCTCTCTCTTTCTTTCTCTCCCCCTTTTTTTTCTCCTTTTTCTTTTTTTTTTCCTTTTTTCTTTTTTTTTTTTCACTTTGCAGGCGCAACAACGTTTCCTAATATCCGTTCTCGTTCATGGAATCAAAGCGATTACCCACGTTGCTAGGCGTATGTCACGGCGTTGTGTATGTATAATAACGTGCTAGAATAAACACTTTATTACCTCCATCGTCATATAGATCATTTGTGAGGATCTAAATGATCGTGGAAGATGATAATGATGATGATAATGATGATGATGATGATGATGATGATGATAATGAAGATGACGATGACGATGAATGTAGATATGAACGTGAGAACATAATCACGTTTACGTATGACATTTGATTTTAATTGTATATATAGCTATTCGATTATATGGACATCGAATAGTACGTATGTTAAATTTGAAAAAAGAGAGAGAGAGAGAGAGAGAGAACAAAACGACAAAACAAAACAAAAAGAGAAATGAAACACGCAGGAACGACAGAGTATGTCAATTTTCTAGCATGACGAATAGAGAAACGCGCGAATTAATCGATAAGGAAGTATGGGAGTTCGCTCGATGGAAGTTAAATCATGGATGAAGCTCCGCTTCCTGTCCTCCTTTCGATCCTATTCTTTTTTTCTTTTTTCTTTTTCTTCTTTTTTTTTCTCTTTTTTTCTTTTTTTTTCTTCTGTATTTTTTTTTTTTGTTCCTTTCTTTCTGTCTTTTATTTTTCGATCGATAGACACACTCGACATGAAATAATTAATTATTCGGACGAACAAATCGGATGAGGAAGCATTAAAGGAAAAAAAAAAAAAAAAAAAAAAAGTAATAATAAAGAGTCTGTGAAAAGATCGCCATTTCGAATAAGAGATATATTTTATAAATCGAAATCCATAGAAATTTTCTTATCGATGAAAAACATTCGAGCTCTCGTTTTCGTTCTCATCTTCTATCATCGGATAGATAGATCTCGAAGAGATCGAAACTCGAGTGGGATCCCTTAGGTATTCAATTGCCGGCTTGTAAAAGCACCTAAGTGGCCGAGACATTGGCACGGGACTGCTATTCTGTTGGTTGCAGGATATCCGGAATAAGAATTTCTATACCGAAAACTTTTCTCTCTCTCTCTCTCTCTCTCTCTCTTTCTTTATTTTTTTTTTCTTCGTCTTCGTCTTCTTCTTCTTCGTCTACGTAGTACTTCTTTCTCCCTTCCCCATTCTCTCCTTCGTTCGAATAAAAACTCTTAACGTCGATTCAATGTACGTAGGATGAAGTGGAGGAGGATGAGGAGGAGGAGGAGGAGAGGGAGGGAGGAACTACTACCACCATCATCACCAATACCACCAACACCAACACCAATACTACTACTATTATTATTACTTCCCCTTCGTCATTGTCCTTTGTCCGCGTACCTGCCGTGATATTGCGATTTTACGGAAATTCGATCTGTTTTTACCGATCCTGCTGCTGCTCCTGCAGGTCCGTTGCATCTAACGATCGATCGATCGATCGATCGATCTATCTACATCGATCACAAGCGTACCACGTAAGTAACGTATTACACGTTCTTTTTTAGTATACGTAGTATTTTTTCTTTTTATTTATTTATTTTTTTTTCACATCTCACTCTTTTCGTTTGGAGATTACGCGTCTATGGATAAATTAATCAATGTACGAATGTGTCAATCATTGACTAATTTTTTTTTTTTCTTTTTCGTATACACATTGTATCGATTATTAAAAGTGACTTGAAAAAACAGGTGCAATGACGATCTATTTCCGTCGCAGAAAAGTGTACGTGTACATATATATATATATATATATATATATATGTGTGTGTGTGTGTGTGTGTGTTAATTTTTTTTAAAATTCTTTTTTCTCTTTTTCTTTTTTTTTATCACGTTCTCAACCTTTAGAAGTTAAGAGTCTACGGATAAATTAATCAATGTACGGGCGTATCAATCGTTGACTAATTTTTTCGTAGACACGTTGTATCGAATATAAAAGAGGCTTTTAAAAAAAACAGGTGGAATGACGAGCCATCTTCGTCATAGAAATTAATATATACTTATAGGGTGTGTACACTTTTCTCGACGCTTTTTTTTTCTTTCTTTTTTTTCTCTTTTCTTCCCCCCCCCTTTTTCTTTTATTTATTCGTTCTCACCCTTTTCGCAGAAATTACGAGTCTACGAAGAGGTTAGTCAATGCATTCTCAGCGTATCATTCATTGATTAATTTGTTTGATTGATGAAGAGACTAGAAAGAAAAGGAAAAAGAAAAAAAAAAGAAGCCAAACGTGCAAGTGTATTCGTATTCCAAAAAGGAAAGGAAAAAGTAAGAAAAAAAATGAGAAACGAGAAGAAAAGAAAAGACAAAAAAAAATAGAGGTAAAAAAAAAGAAAAAGAAAAAAGAGAGAAAAATTATCCACCTTTCTGAAGTATTTCGAGGTGTTCCCATAGAATATCACCCATGAAGGCCGGGGCACGTGCTAAAAAGGGTTCCTTTCCCATAGCGCAAATCTGTTTTCCGGTCATGTGCTGCCAGGGTTGCATGGCCACACCCTCCAACGAAAATTCACCGATAGCCCAATGCAACCAGTGGGCGACAGCTGCTTCCGACCATTGCCTTGGGTCTGAAAAAACATATATAATGAGATTATCTCATTAAGAACGATACCAACGTATACATTATCTCGGATATCACTTCAAGTTCCTGAGTAAAACTGGGACAAGAGAAAGAATCACATATGTGTATATTCTTTTATGGAATCATTTATATATATATATATATATATATATATATTTTTTTCTTTTTTGTTTTTTTCTCTTTCTTTTATTTGAACAATACAGAACGGATGGAATATTTCATAAGCGGTTACGAAAAATCGATTACTCTGTTTTAGGCTAATGTTTTATTATTATTATTATAGAATTGTAAGTCTAATTAAAAGTCTAGAAGATCTCGAGATAGAGTATAATTGATTTTCAATATCATTTAAAAACTTTCAGTACACCCTTGTATATTGTTCATTAACGATACACCGTAGATGTACACGGTGTCAAAGTACGACAGTATTTTATTTTCAATGGAAATAAAAAAAAGAAACAAAAAAAAAAAAACAAAAAAAAAGAAAAAGAAAAAATAGGAAATAAAAAAAAGAAAAGAAGAAGAAGTTATAAAAAATGTAGACGGCGACAGGGCGTCGTTAAAGATTCTTATAAATAATGTATTTATTATAAATCTAATAGAAGAAACACAAAGAGACATAGAGGCCTATCGTAAATCCATATAGAGTTCTCTTTGGGTAGAAGGAATACCGAGAAACATTGGAATGTCCCATTTGAAGTGCGCGCCCATATTTGCACGCGCGTCTTGCATTGTTTCGCGGTATCTTCCTACGTAAAAGTACAGTTCGGCTCATAATGCAAACAGAAATGATGTCGGCAAAACGAAACAGCACACGTTGACGTCTGACCAAATGACGTTCATTTCTTTTTATTTTCATCGAGAGAGAGAGAGAGAGAGAGAGAGAGAGAGAGAGAGAGAGAGAGAGAGAGAGAGAGAGAGAGAGAGAGAGAAAACGTAAATTAGTTATTATCAACTTATAACGAACTTATTAAGAATTCATTAGTTTTAACGCAAAGCTTACATGTATTTCAAATGAAATGTGGTTATATTCATTTAAGTGATCGTTTAGCACGATGTGATGATCGTTTAACAGAATGACGTTAAAAAAGTAAAAATAAAATAAAATGAAGAAGAAGTAAAAACGAAAAAAAAGGAAAAAAAAAAGAAAGAAAAAAGAAAACGAACGTTCTCTCTCTTTCTCTCTCCCTCTCTCTTTCTCTTTCTCTTTCTCTCTGTCTGTATATATCTCTCCGTCTCTTTCTCTCTTACTGGAAGAAGGAGGTGCGAAGGTAAACGTTCAGAAGAGTTAAACAAAGTCGAGACAAAACGGTCGGGTAAAAAAGAAAAAAAAAAGAAAAAAAGGAAAAAAGAAAAGGAAAAAAAAAAACAAAAATAGAAAAAGGAACAAAATTCACGTGTCACGAACGAAGCTGGTATACCTATAACGATCGAAATCTTTGCTTCGATCGAAATACACACTTTTCTCTTTCTTTATTTTCTTGAGCTACGTGATGAGAGAACCAACATCTTTTTATGAATGGAAGCCGACGATCAAATAAGAAAGAGAAAGAGAGAGAGAAAGAGGAGAGAGAGGGGAAAGAAAGAGAGGGAAAGAGAGAGAGAGAGAGAGAGAGAGAAAGCAGAAAGATTCGTAGAAAACGATGAGATACTTTCGCGCATACATCGAGATAAAGATAGATAGATAGATAAATAGATAGATAGATAGATAGAGAGAGAGAGGTAGAGAGAGAGAGAGAGAGAGACATGGCCGATAATATAATATAAATATAGAAAAGGTGAGTAAAGAGCAAGGCGAGCGTGTCTAACGGCATACCGCCATCAAAGCGACCGCCGATGTTTGAGGATCGTGCCGATGTTTACACAACTTATTCCTTGTCAGTATTGTTAACAGACTCTCTCTTCGTCTCTCTCTCTCTCTCTCTTTCTTTTACTCTCACTTTTTCTCCTTCATTTCTCCTCTACCTCTCAGTCGTCCCTCGTCATCCACACGAGTAAGATCTCATTGTTCAGAGTTTCAAGTGCGTACACGTAAGATTTTCGATAATATAAATTTTTTAAATTGTTCGTCCGATTTTATATATATATATATATATATGTATATAAGTAAGTATATAGATAATAATAATAATAATAATATGTAATAATGACGACGCGACGTTTATTTAGAAAACGCGAAAGTCAAAAATAAATAATATACAAAACGTTATTATTATTGGATAATCAAATAACGATAATCGAAATACACACGCATCTATGTATGTATGTATATATGTATGTATGTATATACTCTTTTATGGGGTCGAAAGATTTGTGAAAATCAAAGTTTTCTTTTTTTTCCGAAAAGACAGGACCACAATGATCTCGGTTAGAGTTGATTTAGGAAGGAAGGTCCACTCGACGACGCAGGTGGATAGAAACTTATTTTTCTGTACCTGTTGTACAAACGCACTTTTATCTGCCATAACATGTTTCCATTATAATGTTAACAAAGAAAGAAAAAGAAAAAAAAAGAAAAGAAAAAGAAAAGAAAAGAAAAAGAAAAGAAAGGAGGAAAAGTGTAGATACGAAACGTGACAAAGGAAATACGTTATAATGTCATTAACGACGGTAGGATTATTCAAATATATAATTAATAAATAATTAATAAAAATAAAACTAAAATCGGAATTACTTTATCATTAAAATTTATTAGAATGATTACGATGTTACGAATACGATTTTTAATATCATTGATTTATTCAAACACGTGGATTTTATAATAAAAATTGAACAATACAGGGATCGATGACTTATAATAGATCAATCGTTATATCAATTATTATTAATTTTTTTTTCTCGAATTATTTAAACTACAAGTTTGGAAAGAAGAAGAAGGAAAAAAAAAAGAAAATAAAAGAACTTTTAACTCGTCCTGAAGGACCGACGAAAATTCA